ATAAATATTAAAATTCGCTTTTCTTAGAATCCAATTAAAATTACATAATCCAGAAAATATGTAAATATCATTGCTGTGAAATAACTAGAATAATTTTAATAGCATGCACTTGAAAAAATATTTCATCAACTTTACAGTTTAAATAGATATAATCCAGAGGTAAGCAACGACATAAACTTAAAGTTTTAGTTGGATAAATAATAAAATTCTTGCAGGGCGATTCATCGATGGAAAGCTCAATTAAGTGATGGCATTTATGGCATCGATAGAGTAGAAGTTCATGTGGCTATAAAAATTTCATTGTTCCCAACACCAAAGTTCTTCACATAAACAACTCCGATCTCTGAAATGAATGAACAAAATTGTGAAATTCAAATGAAAATCTTTTTGTTGTCATAAACATTTGGAATGGAAATTAAATTGTTGAGATGTTTCGATATTTATGAAGAGAAAATTTAAATAATTGTGCAAAAGAAAATTACTTTCATGTATTGAATTAATTAAATTGAAAAGTTTAAATCTAACTAAAACTTTATTCATTTTGTTTCTCACATTAAAGAGGTTTTATGATATTAAAACATAACTTGAGATTTCTATAGTTTTCTTCAATAGAATTATCATAAAAGGAGAAGGAAGTAACTAAATTATGAGATACTTTCTTAATGTAATCTGTTTATCAAAACACTCTTTATCAAATCCTCCATTCATGTTTACTTTATGTTTAAATCTATATTTTCTCATTTTATTTATTAACATATTCTTAAGAAATTCAAACTTCCAAGAAGATTAAACGAGATAAGCTTGTTTCCTGGGTAACTTGACAGTCAATAACAACTCACAATAATAACTTCCAAGAAAAATAAAAGCTTTTTGCTTCTATTTTCAGGTTAAGTAAAAGTAATGCAAGCATAAATTCTTTTATGTAAGTAATAATTCTCTATAATGCAAATATAAATTTTTCACAGATTGATTTCATCCATAAGATCCAATTCAACAGAAAGAAAATGTTCGCAATTATATTTATAAATCTAAAGAAAAAAGAAAAATTTAATTCACATCACGAGAAGAAAATTCTGAAATAAATTATTTGATTTAATTAAATGCGTGCTTGACATGTGTAAAAGTCTCGTAGAAATTTGAAATTTCTTCAAAGCAGATGACAAAAGATATGCAAACATTCCCAAGTTAAGATTTAATTAAGACACAAACGTGAAAATTAATTTGATGGTAGAAAGAAATGAAGATTTTCTTTGTAAGATTTGTGCTACATATATTTATATGAATTAAATAATATCTGGCGCTTGGAAAAGCTCAAACAAATGCAAAGAGATGAAAAGTTTTCGTTCTCATCAAATGCTAAGTATTCTTACTTAAACAAAACATTTAAAGCAAGCACGTTGTGATGAACGCACATTCATTTAGATTTCTATAAATAACATTTCAAATGTTAAAAAAGATTTGTTTAATTCTTTTCCTTTTAGGTTCGCATTTTCACAGTTAGAGAATAAACTTTTTTTCTCCGAAACTCAACGAATATTTTCCTTCCTTTGCTGCTTTGAAATTGAGAAGACAAAAAGACAAACCCTTCTGAATAATATAAAATGTTCCATCATAAAATTAAAATTCTTTGAAAAAGTTCTTTTCCTTCTCTCTTTTCATCTTCATCTCATACTCATTACATTTCAGTCTCTAAACAAAGGTAACGAAAAAAAAAAGAACTTTTGAAAGTTTAGACCAGTTTTTAATTAAAAATTCTCATATATTTCACACCCCCCACAGTCATTGTTAAATATAATTTCATCCACGAAAGTTGAGATCCCATAACAACTCTTTATACGCTTTATTGAACTTGCTAACTTGAACAAATGCGAGGGTTGATAAACTTTTTACTCTCTTCTCACATTTCCTTCATTATTCGAAAAGTTTTGAAGCACACATGAGATGGAAAAGTGAAAGAATGAAAGTAATGATAAGGAGTTTGTGATAACAGGATGTAGCTCATGACACACACCACTAACTATCAATGAACAGCAATAAAGTTCATGCTTGATATGTCAGACATGTCTTGAATTCTTTTTTCTCACATTGTCGTGAATGAAACTTCAAATTAGACATTCAAGGAGAGAAATAAAACTTTTATCCGCGAAAATATTCCTTATGGCAGTTAAGATTTCTTGAAGAAACTTTTACTGTTTGTTGAGAGTTCTGTTCACTAGCAAGTGGAAAATTTCCCACCAATAATGCATTTGGAAAAGTTAGTAACATCTAAAAAACACTTACAGTTCGTTTTAAAACAAGTTTGAAGGTGAAACTTGAGAAAATATTTTAATTAGGTTCAGGTAAGCAAACTTTCGAAGGGAACTTTGGATTTTTACTATCGATTTTCTAAGTCACTTCTCTTGTATTCGAAAGAAACTTTTATCTGTTAAGAAATATCTCATAATCATTTCGAAATCATCAAAAAGTTTGCATTAATTTCATTGCTTTCCGTTCTTCTTCTTTCGAAAGTTGGGAGAATCAAAAAGGGGAGAAAGTTTGATTGTTAACTTCAATCTTTATTTGATTTATTTGAAAACAAAAACGACTGACAGAAGAGGAAAGAAATCAAATCGATCAAAATTGTCGATATTTGAATCATGAAAAGTTTTTTTTTTGCAATAAAGATAAGAAACATTGCTCCACCCTTCCTGTCAGTTTTTTTCTTCCCAGCATTATTGAACATCAATTTAAGAAGAAAAAAGAACGTTTAACGAATGACTTTTGAAATGAAGAATTGGAAACGGAGAAGAAGTGAAAGTATCTGGAGACAAAAAAAAAGGAAGTAGAATGAGAAGAAATTTAATTACAAACGTGCTGTTGCTGTTTCGTCGAGTTCTTTTATCTCGGTTTCCACACAAAAAAATGCTGGCATTTATGACTGTTATTGTGAAACGAGAACTCACAAGGGTAATTTATCGTTTTCCTACCATTGACCATTGGAAATCCCCAAATGGGATTGATGACAATGATGAAAAGAATGAACTTTCCTAAATATGAACTGATGTTAAGCTCGACAATCATGATACGCTATAAAAAACGAGTGAAATGTCCTCGAAATCCTTTCATGTCGATTCAATTAAATCTGATGACATTTCGTGTCCATTTATGACCTCTTCCGGTCTCACTTTAATTAAGATCGAGCTCGAAAAGGGAGTCATTAGTGTAATTTAGGGAAGTATCGAGAGAACGTTTTCGTCTTCAACGATGAGAAGTAAAACTGAAAGGAGTCTAATTAAGAGAAGGAAATCATCTCTTACATTTTTCCCTCGTTCTATTGGATGAAGGCTTTCACTTCATTGGAGAATAATTGATTAGATTATTTCTGGAGAGAGTGAAATGAAAACCCTTTCTATATTTTCTTACTTATGCCTTTATTTACTTCAGAAAAGCCTTTTCCACTCCTTTCAAACCCGCTTAAACTTAATTTTAACCTTTTCACTCTGTTTGTAGATGTCTTTTATATTGAGTGGAGGAAATTTCAACGAAAGATTCAATGATAGCATGAAGGATGAGAGTTGAACGCAATGAAAACAAACTCAATGAATTTTTAATGGACATGGCATATCTACGTGAAGACAGCAACAGCAATTGAGTGAATGTTGCGGATGATTAAGGTAAATGTGACAACTGCGGAGTGCTGTTTAGAATTGAATAATATTATTTTATTGTCATTACTTTCGTTTGAAAATTCCTTTTAATGGCATGTCGTTTTGAAATATGATAATGTTGTTTACTCACTGATGGCCTTCGATTGAAAAAGAAGAAACTGGAAAAGGAAAAAAAATTGTTTCTGCAACCATAAACTCTTCAGTTATTGGATTTTGTTTTTTGACTTTTTTTTTATTCATTTTGAAGTTTTTCTCTTTGACTTAAGATTTACAAAAAAGCAATTTTCCTCAAAATAAAGTTTTCACTTTTTCAAAAACAAGAAGAAAAAGTGAAGGAAAAAACAATGTTTCATTTCATTTTTAACATTTTAAATCTTAAATCTGAGAGGATGGGACTTAAACTCTAATTTCTTGAAAGATTTCTTCAATTTTTTTATCATGCGTTCATGCTTTCCATTTTCTTTTTTTGCATAAAATTTATTTGCGTCTCTCGAGTGCAAAATTTTATTTAGTTTTCTTTTTTGCTTTCGGTCATGAAACTTTAGCTCATGGTCCTTTTTCTTTCTTTTCGCTTTCTTTTAATCTTTGCCAAACCCGAAACACCACAAAATCGTCGCATAATTTTTTCTCCGCCTTAGGGCCTACCCAAAATCCCTCGAAATATAAAAAAAAGTCGCTCAGCATTTTCCAGCATCTAATCCATCAAAGATTTTCGTGACTTTCCTTTTACCCACGTCCGTTCATCGTCCAATATTTTTTAGAATTATTTATTTTTTTATTTCACTTGAATAACATGATTCTCAATACAAAAATAGAAATATATATTTCTTCAATAATAATCTCATTTTCTTTAATATTTTTTATAAATATTTTGTTAGGTTTACCATCGTTATTAGTTTTTCTTGTGTTTGTTCTCGCTGGCAGTTTTTAAGGCCCATTTTAATATGAGATATTTAATTTCAAGAAACGGCGTATTTGAGAATATCGCGAGGGTCAAAGGCCTCGCCTCGCGGCTTTTTCGAACATTTCAAGGGACATTGGAAAGGGGAGAAAAACGATGAAAAATTATGCGAAAAAGTTGTCGTCAATTCCAATTTCTTTCCTTATTCTCTTTTCTTTTATATTCATTAGCACACTGAAAAAGATGTTTCATCCACTTTTTTTTTTATTTTAAACCTAACTACTTATGACTTAAATTGTTGATTTTCTTTTCATTCATCATTCATATTTTTTCTTATCGTCGTAACTACCTATAACCTAAGCTTTTTTTAGCTGTGTGTTCAAGAGATTTTAAATCGAATAAGCAGAAATACAAAGAGAATTTAAAATAAAAACAAAAGGAAACAATTTCAAAGTGCTTCAATCGAATTACTGAGACGTAATGCGAAGCATCATTTCTTTCTTTTTATCTTAGGGGGGATGATATGCAACCCAAAAACAAAAAAAAAAGAGAAAAACATTTCCTACTCATCAATCATTGAAAAACTTTTATAACACTTGTTTTCTTTTTCTTGTTGTCCTTTTCAGCAACTTTTGCTTGCGACTTGTCATTTAAATATAAAACTAAAGTCCTACATTCTTGCATTATTATTCATTCTTCTAATAGCTAAGAATCCTAAACATTACTCACTAGATTTCTTTTTTTCTTTCTCTTCATTACGCTCTGACATTGTTTATCGTCGCTTTCTTTAAGACGTTTCTTCCTTTATCTATTTATTCAAAAGACGCTCAGCAATTTTTTTCATTAATACTTAGATCCTATAAAAGATTTTCATTTTTCTTCATCTAAATTCTTAAAAAATAGAATTTTTTTTTCAGTAGAAGTTCATTGAGAACCTTGAAAAAAAAACAGATTTTTATTATTTTTCTTGTATGTGGGGGCGATTTTTCAACTTTTCTTTATGCATTAATTTTTGTTTTTGTGTGTATTGGAAAAACTCTTTCAAAGAAAAAAATATTTGAGAAACTCAAGCGAGAATCTTTGCTTTTTTGGATCATGACAAAATCTGTTTACAAATGACTTGTTCCTCTTATGGATTTATTTATTTTATTCTCTTTTGATCAAATATCGACAGCGAAAATATGTTGAACGAAATTTTAAAAGATTTCATTTCTTTGACATTTAGTTCTTTTGTTTTATTTCTCAAAATACATTCATTTAAGGTGGAAGCCCGCGCGTACTGGAACATACTTTAAATGAAATACTTTTTTTCCGTTTCTTGAATTCATTTATGTTTTATTTCACATTCAAAGTGATTTGTTCATCAATGTGAGGCGAGTTTTGTAGTAAATTATCGAAGCCAATCTCCTTTTACAAAATGACAAATAGTTATGACGATGCTTCGATGAAACTTGCTGTCAAAGAATGTAAGAAAATATCTTGCGTCACTTGATTGACAAAAAAAGCATTTTTGATGATGATGATGAAGAAAATTTTTGTTTTCCATTCAAATTGTGTCATAAAGAGCAGAAAATTTTCTTATTATCTAATGAAAGAAAAACAAAATGTTTTTTTCCTTAAGCCTAGAGAAACATTTCTTTTTTTCGTCATTTGAGAAATTTAAACACAAAACAAAAGATTTTCACCTTCTGGATGCTCTTATAATCACTAATTTATTTCCTAAAGTTTTCATTTTCTTAAAAGTCTAGAAAAATTTCATTTTCTTTTCCACAAATCCCTAAAAAATGCTTTCCTGTTTGCTTTTATTTCTTTTCTCATACATTCTCTATTAAATCGACTTCTAGATTGAATTTAAACATTTTTCTTTCTAGTCAAATTGGAAAATGTGAAAAGTAAATGAAAAGTCATTTTCCATTTTCTAGAGTGCTTGAAACTTTATGAGTGTTTTAATCCGTATTTCTGCATTTTATCTCTCGCGACAAAGTTTCTTTTCCGGGTGTTATTTTTATGCTTTTTACGACTTACAGGAAGGTTGTTGCTAACGAAATGTCACAAAGAATCTTTTAAAATTGGTATAATAACATTTAATTCCAAGAAACTTTAGATTTAAAAATCAAAGCGACGAATGATTTTTGATGATTTTTTAAGTCACTAAAGTTTTTTTTCTCATCGATTTTACGTTAAAATCTTCACGAGTGATGATGTGATTCACGTCCAAGGATAAATTTGTGTTAATTTTCACAAGTTTCTTATCCGCATAACTTTAAATTGTTATTTAATTTATTTTTTTATTTTTTGTCTCAGTCATTTCATTATCTTTTATTGTATACGAGTTTGATTCATCTTTTTTTTCTTACATATGCCTCGTCAATAAATCATCGGTTCTTATGTAACAAAAAATATATTCTCTTACTCTTCTCATAGCTTTTATGTGGATTAGATTTTTGGATAGTTCTCTCACGATTGAATTTGATTTTAAAATAAGAAACAAAAAAAAAATTTTCCTTCTTTCTTCTTTTCAAATCAAATTCAAGTCTAACGAAATGAAAATAATTCAAAATTGTTAAATAAAATGTGAAACAAACTTTAATGAAATTTTCTATAGACTTCTTCTTTTCATCAATATTAAAAATTCGACAACTCAATTTATAAATTATCCTATAAAGTATTAAATTTGTTCTTTCTTGAGATAGAGGTAAATGGATGAACATTTTCAATGAAATTGTAACACTCACATTTCAGCGTATCATTTGATGATCGCAATGTTTCATTTGCTTTCAGATGGAATGCAATGGAATATAATTCGTATAAACATATGTCATCTTTTCTTTCAAATTTGAATTAAGATTCATAAACTTTTCCTTCTATTATTTTTATTATTAGTTTTCTTTTTATGTGTTTGATGAAAAATCTACAGATTCCCCGATGCCAACAATATCTGAATGTCTTTGACCAATTCCATTTTTTTTCTTTCGTGATGAATATATGTTGTGTATTTGTGGTGGATGTTTTATAGATAAGTTTCAAGTTGAGAGAGAAGATTAAATCTTTTCTGCTCTTTTCCTTCTTTCTAAGTATTTTCATAGTAAAAATTTTGTCAATTTAATTTTCAAGATTTTTATGTTTCCGTCGTTCTTTTTTTATTTTATTGTTATTCGTCCTCCCTTTATCTGCTTAGAATAAGATTTTATTTCCGTCTCGAATAATATTTGTGTTTACATGTTTGCATATATTTTCATTTTCCCGAAAATTTGTGTAAAAGGCACAAATTTTTCTCATCATTCAAGTTCGTGGATTCCTTTCTTCTTCACTTTATCTTTTACGTTTTTATATAATTTTTTTTCCTCCTTTACAACAAATAACCTTTTCTCAAGTGTATAGAAAAAAGGTCAGATAGGAAAGGCTTTTGAGCTTTTAGTTTTAGTCCTTTTTTACGTGTTATGGTATTTAATAGTGAGTGGTGGGGGGCGATGATGATCTGAGTAGTGATTCCTCAAGTTTTCAATGAAATATTCACACTTATTGCACTCTTTTTGAAATATTGAGCAAAATAGTTAAGCGTCAAACGTGAAAGTTTGCCGAGTGATAATGGAATTTTCTTCTTCTTTCTATTTCTGAATTTTTTAAGCACTTACAAAGTATTTCCTCGAAAAAGTAGAGTCGAAAGAAAGATTATTTGAGAAAGGGAAGAAGATAAATCGGAAATGAAATTCCTAACCGAGCGATTCTAAAAAAATGGAATGTGATGTTCAAGTATGTGCTACGACGTTTTGTGATGTTTTCCATGTAAAAATTTGTATTCTTTTCTATACATACATATACTTCTTTTTGTATAATATATAATGTATGAAGGTGAGACAGGAAAGTGTCGTTAAAACCTTGCAGCGAGTTGAAAACGAACACGAAACTGGAAAGCGCATTTAAGGAAGGAACGAAAAAAAGTGCAGGAACTATTTCACTCGCTGCCACAGATTAACGACCCTTTAAAATATCATACTTTTTATTCGTTTTATTTTCATTATTTGAATGCATATAATGCACAAAAGTGCATCACAATAGATCGTAAAAACGATCGAGATGAAAATTAAATTTTCCTTTTCCGCATGATGCTTTCATTCTTCTTTTTTTATTTTATATTTTTGGAAATAACAAAAGCTTTCATTTTTAATTTTATTTCTTTTTTATTTTATTTTTTTAATTAAATCACAAGAAATTAAAATGAAATAATTTTTCCTCTCAGGGTCTGCGTGTGTATGTGACTTTGTACAACTGGCACATGTCATCAACATAACTAACCGATGTTCCATCAGCGCCTGACTCACCAAGATAATTAAATAGTTTTTATGCCGTCTTTCAACCATAAAACTTCAATTCATTTTAATTACATTTTTCTTTTATTTTCTTCATCGCCCATTTCTCCTAACTTAGTTTTTTTTTCAGCAGCACTTTAGCATAATTTAATTTCATTTCTTTCTCATTATAAATTAAATTTAATCTAATTAATTTTTCATCATTGTGTGGATCTATAAATATTTTTTAAAAAAAGCCAACACAACTATATAAAACAAATAAACAAAAAAAAATATTAAATGTTAAAAAAAGTGAAAAGACTAGATTTCAACTGTTTATTTTTCATTCTCTATTTCCACCCACGCACTCTATAAACATCCTCCACGGTTTTCCCACGACAGACATTTACTATTCCTTTATGGATGTCTCCCTTGAACATAATGATAATAAATATCTCCGAAACGATAAACTGGAGAGGCGGACTTTGCGTTCCATAGAAGTTTTTCACGATTACGTGAGAAGGTCGGCGAATTTTTGCGAAGGATGGGAGAATGTGAGAAGTGGAAAATATTTCTGCTTCAATAACCCCCATTTGGCCATCGACTTTCCACCTTTCGGCTATATCGAAATACAATTCAACATTATCACGTGCAAAACCGCAATCGATTCCTTTCAGTTTACAATAAAAGTCCATCTCAGAAACAACGGCAATTAAGTGAAGGCGAACTTTTTCTTTCTATCTTTTTATTCTTCTTTCTTTCTTTTTTTTTTGATATAACGCTTCTTACTAATTGCATCAATTTACTTTTCCATTTTCATTCATCTTTCTAACTGATAATGATGATTTCTTCTGAGATTGAAACTTAAGAAAAAGTTCTCATCTCATTGAGAACAAATCAAATCCTTCGATAAACGCTCGGCGTTTAATTTTATGGCAGCCTCCAATTAGTTCCAATAAATCTTCCTATTTAATCCAACTATAGTAATAATCATCATCTTTATTCATCGGTTTCCGTTCGTGGTGGCGGCACCAGTCGATTATGTGTGTTAATGTTAAATAGTCAATAAATTTTTTTCTTTTCTCATCAATAATCAATCACGATGAGTAAATAATAACAAATAAAAAAAAGAGAAATAAAATGTGAATTGCTTTTTCATTCTTTTTTTGGTAACAAAGGTCGAAAGTTGAGTTGAAAAGAAAATCAATTTAACTTGGGTCAGTTGCAACAGCTCATTCTTAAACAACAAGCTAATTGGAACTAATCGCAAATTAGTTTGCGTGAAAAGAAAAATAATTGCACAAACCCCATTTACTTTTTGTTTTATTTCAATTCTAAAATGATTTCCCACTGTTCTTGTTGGAAGAGCGATCATCTCCATATTCAGTTTCTTCTTACATTTTTTTTTCTTTTTTGTGTTTTTTTGGTTTAAATGGACTCAAAAGGAATCCATTGAAAATTCTTTCCAACGCTACTCGCAATACTTTTTTGTTGTTTGATTCTTATGATTTTTTTTCCTTTGTAATCTAATTTTTTTCCTACTAAACCTCATCTCAATTACTAAATTTTCATCTAACTTAATCTTACAGCAAAAAAAAACTTGGTTTACTAGTCCCTCAGTGTCCCCAAAGTTTCATTTTAAATTCCTAATGTTTTCTTAGCGTCTCGTCTCAACTTTTTTTTTTCTTTGCGTCACGCAACATAACTATTTTTGTGTCCACTAGCTGGAGCACTCACTACTGTCTTATATACAAAGCTTTTCTTTTCATGAGCATCTGTCTTCATTCAATCTTAATGGCTAGACTTATTGAATAATCTCTAAGAAAAAAATTCTAGAAAAAGAACGATTTTTCATTCATCGAACGAAAAACAAAGTTCATCTACGCCTACGCATTCTTCTTTTTTTACTTAATAACTACTTTTTTTTCTTATCTTAGAAGCTAAATTCTGGTTTGTTTCGAATAGGAAAAAACCTTGAAAACTAATTAATAAAACAACGACAAGAAAAGAAAAAAAAATTACTTAACACCTACGCGAAAAATTCTTAACTTCATTCTCATTCACTTAAATACTCCGACACAGTTGACAATGAACAAAAGATCCATTATCAAGTGCTTAGGATGTGATACATTAAAGGGATGGGACTTAATTTTTTCTTTCCTTTTCTTCTTTGTGACTCTCCGCTCCATTTAAGATGCAAATAAATTTTTTTCTTTTTGTTTACAATTTTTCTTTTCATTTCTTCTTTTTTTGTCTCATCATGGTTAAATCGATTTGACTTTTATCGTGTGACCCTCATAGAGATTTCAAATGGTTTATTAAACAGAAAAAAGTGAGGTATCAGTTTGGCCAATCCTAGTGGGAGAAATAGATTCGAAGATAAGAATTATAAAGTTTTTACATTAATGGGATAACCGTGAGTGATGTCAGATATAAGAAGTTTCAATTTTTTCTTTAAATATGTAAACTAACATCAATCCACCGTCAATCCTAATCAAAGATATTATCAAGACAATACTTACTGGTATCTTATATTTTTATTTTTGTCCATCAACTGAGTTCTAAACATCTCTCCCTCTTTTTGGTTTCCTTAAAAGTTAAGACTTGATTTTTTATTTCTCTCTCATTTGGGAGAAAACACAAAAACTTTGAATGATGAAAAGATTTTTTTTTGTTTCTTCTTTCAAGAATTTCTTATTTAAATGTTGTCATTCAATTTATAAAATAAAAAGAAGTGTTTGAAGCGAGAAATGGTTTTTTTATCTGACGAAGGGATGAATTGAATTCAAATTTACTTTGGGCCATGCTGATATTGAGTGTAAGCTTCGTCGGGCGATGCAGCATTGCTGGCATGCTCCGATTCACCCATTTGCATGGTATGAATAATGGATGGTGGATAGTATGGATATGGAGGACTAATGTACTGCTATGATGTTGAATAAGAATAGAAAAGTAAAGAAAGAAAAATTAAATCAATAATTATTTTTGTTCTCCAGCTGTGGTTAACATTTAAATTGCACAAAAGATAATTTACCGATGATCCAATTTGCAATGTTGAAAATTGTGGAACCATTCCATATGGAACAGCTGCAGAATCGCTACTCATAATCATTGAGACTCCACGCGGTTGTACGGCATCTGGTTTGTAAGCTGCGCCGACACTTAACTGTGGGGCGACGTGCATATACTGCGAATTGTAATTGAAATCAAAAAACTATTTCAAATAAATTATTGTTGTAGTGAAAACTCACTTGATCGTCAACTTGCTGAAGTGGCTGTGCCATCATGTAGCCGGGAACGTAACCAGGCATTGCAAATCCTCCTACTTGTGGAGTTCCATAGCGACCGTAAGCTGGAACACCAATATGAGCGCCAACATTAACTCCAATACCATTTTGTTGCATCGATGGATCATAAGCGACTTGAACTCCTTCAGTCACTTCACGCCAAGCTCCTCGAGCATTAGGATCTGGGCTCTTAAAATTGTTCTTCTTCTTTGAACCGCCATCAGCAAACTTCACTAGCAATGGATCTTTGGCGCCTTGCAATTGCGTTCCATTGAAAATTTGAATAATTTGTTCACACTTTTCACGTGATTCCATACGAGCAAATCCCACACCTGTTGATGATTTCATGATGTTATTCAATAAATTAAATTGCTGACATGTCATGCATGCATTTATCTTTTATTTTTCAATTTATTTCTCTCACCTTTCGATGTGCCTTGCTGATCACGCAATATTCTAGTTGAAATCACTTGACCATACTTAGCCAATAACTGCTCGACATCGGTCTCTTTAAAAGTCAAAGGTAAGTTAGCCAGATACAAATTGGTGGGATCCTGTTCTTGTTGCTGCTTTGTTTGCAATTTCCAGACATTTTTTTAATTTGCAATTTCATGGTTTTTTATTATTTTCATTATTTTTTTGTTTATGTTTGCAAATAAAAATTTGTCAAAATTTTATTAAATATTTGCAATAATGAGAAGAAATTATGCAAAGGAAAAAAAGAAAGAAAAAAGAATAATAATTAGTAAAGTTTTATGACAGGTTTTAATGTTCTCATAACGACTTTCTTCACTTTCTGGTTTTTTTTTGTCTGTATTTGCTCGTCTTGCTCAATTAGCAAGGCGGAAAAGAAAAGATTCTTTTTAATTTTCGAGAAAAAACTTGCATAAATCCGAGAAGGATTTGAATACTGAGTGCTTTATATCGTCGCGAATTATGAAGAGTTCTATCATGAAAGTGGTAAAACTCTTCATAGTCTCTCAACATAAAACGCAGTTTGCATAATAAAAGAGATTTTCTTCCTATGACATTAAATATGTTTTATGCTTGCTAAAGCGATTAAAACTTTGTTTTAAAAATCTTCTTTTCCATTAAAATTAAATTTTTAATTTTTAAATGACCATCAAGAATGATATGAAATTTTAATTAATTTATTTAATGGCTAGCGCTCCGAAAGCTTTTTAGAGGTTTAACTAAAAAAAAAAAATGTCTTATATGCCTTGGAGCTTTTATGTTCAAAAGTTCTCTTCATGTTTAAAAGTTTTTTCTCTCTTGGTACAAAAAAGTCATTAAGGTTCTAGCATAAATATTAAAAATAGTGATAAAATGTTCGGCCGGCTCACGTCACTTGTCAATTAATTGATTATTCAATTAAATGGGGGTAAATATAGCTACTTATTCTCGCTTGGTAATCTGAATTAAAATACATTATAATAAGATTAATTTGTTTCCATTATATTATGTACGTTTCGGAACTTTCCAAGCTAGCTAATTACACAATTTATTGTACAATTTGTTTTTGTTTTTTTTTTTGTTCATGGGTAAAGATAAAGGTAATATCAAGCCTAGTTGTCCTCTATGATTAAATATATGTACCACATAAATTATACAATGTTAAATATTTCTAAATAAATACCTATTCATGTAAATTCCATCTTCATTCTAATTACAATGGAAGTAGGAGATGTTTACATGTTATTCAGAGATCAGAGATACAAATTTTATTTATTTACCCTTTCAAAACTTTACCTGATTCAACCTGACCTTACATGTGAACATCCCCTCCTTTTATATCGAAATTATTTAAGTACAAATAGAGCTCTTGCTGGGAGCATAAATGTTATCTAAAAATTTAATTAATAATTTTCCACTAATTAGTTGGTAAATATTTGAATTGTTAATTTTACCTAGTGATTTCAGAATTATGTAAATAAACGCGAGCATTGCTTTAAAACATATTTCGATCTACTGTTTCAAAGCTCAGCTTACTTAAAAGATTTTCATCTTCCATTGAATGCCAAGAGAAATATTTATTTACAGTTTGCGAGTTAATAATATAAATAAGGAATCATCGAATGTTTTATGGGGTATGGGATTTGATCAATTAAGGTTAGACGAGATAAAACACAAAAAAAAAGTCAGAGTTTTGTCTCAAATGCAAAAATTACTTTTAATGACTCCCGGAACGGAACAAAACGTAATTAAAGTGTGACCGAAAAGGGTCATGAACGGATATAAAATGTCATCTAACTTAAGTGGTGAACGAGAGTGGAGTGAGATTATTTTCAGCAAATCATTCTCATTTGACTTCACATGAGTGGATGGTATGTTAAATTCTTCTTGCTGTCATCATCATTGCTCTCATTCAGGGATTTTCCATGGTTGAATAACGTAAAACAATTCTCATGAGTGCTTGCTTGACAATAACTGTTATAAATGTTGAACTTTTGGTTTTTCTCTATTTTTTTCTTTCTTTCATTTGACTTGAAGCTTTGCTGGCGTGGAAACCGAGATAGGACCATGCGAATGAGCAACAACAGCAAACATTTGTAATTAAATTTCATCTCGTTCTCTATACATCTCTTAGAGATACTTTTCATTCATATCCGTTTCCTTCCGTTTCAAATTCTACATTCCAGCAAACATTCATTAAACGCCTTCACCCTCAATTCTTCTTCGTAATTCAAAATAAAAGAGAATGAAGAAAAATAAAATTGTTGACATGAGATACGGAAGCAAAGTTAGCTCAGTGAAAAATACTTTATGATTTATCGACAAATTTGATCGATTTCTATCGCTCAAGTTGAAAAATAAATTGAATTTCTTTTCTAATTCAATTTTCGTCAATTCTTTTATTCTGGAGTCAAATTCAGCAAAGATGAAAATGAAATTTCTTTTAGGCAGTTTGCCTTTTATTTCTCATGAGAGTTTTCAAGTGGAATTTGAAAATAATTCCACTTCCGTGTTGAAGATTATCAACGTAGGGATAAACTTTTCACGGCACAATTGTGTTTGGAGGTTTTCCTTCAGTGCCATATTCCGTTGTCATAAACATTTCATGAATGTTTATACGAAATAAAAGTCTTGGTTTCATCATATATTAATAGAAGCGATCTCAGCTGGTTCGAAACTGTTAAATTTGGTTGAATTGAACTCTGATGCTTTCTTCCTTTTCTTCCCCCTTCTCCCATCCACCCACGTTCACTCAACATAATAGAATTGAATGAAAAAAAAACCTTTTTTCTGTCTCAAAGAACAAAAATGAATAAAAGAAAAAGTTTTCTCCGCAAACTCAATTTTTCACTTATGGAAAATCGCTTTTCTATTCTATTTCTAGCTCTAGCACTTAGTGTTGAAATTCTAGGATCTACGAGAATAATAAAAGGGCGGAATATCAGACTTCTTGTTCTCACACTAATTACATTTAAATCCATTAAAATATCATGAAGATTATAAAGAAAATACTTTCTACATGGCTTTCCATTAAAATTAGGGATTATGAAACGCATACAAATTTTCTCTTTTTTCTCTATTGTTTTTTTTTCTTCTTCTCTTGCGCTATGAATAAAACCAGAACAGGAAGTTTTTTGTGCTATGGAAAAAAAATGTTTTCTATGCTACAACAAAAACTGCTTCACACTTCCACAGCTTATAGGATTTCAGATAGTCTCAACTCAACTTTGTCAATCTGGCATCCCATTAAGATGTTAAGTCTTGTGAAGCAATTTTCCAGTATCTATTCTAGTCGACTATAAAAAGTATTCTATTTATGGATTTTATGTTGGACATAAGAGGTTGAGGGAAGGCGGTGAAAATAATTTAAAGAGAATGAACTTTGAAAGTTTAGAAAATCAAAAGAAATAAAAAAGGAAAAACAAAAGTTAGACATGGGAAAAATGAAAGAAAAGCAATTCATCTATAAATCATGTAATTTTCTAAATTTAATGCACAAAACATTGAAGTCAATCAGATTTCATTTAAGTATCACGAAAGGGAAATTTAATTTACAATCCTAAAAATTGAATTGAAAATGGAATGAAGGAAACATAAGTTTATCGGTCGAGGATAAATTTTAAAAGTTTGTCAATAAAGTTTCTATTAGTCTCAAACTCAAATTGAAATATCTAATAATATTTGGTTAAAGTGGTTAGGAAAACAATCGTTTTCTAGCATTTGGTCGATTACAATGACAGTCGTTGTGGGATTAGTAAACTTAAATAAATTGAGAAAATCATAAAGTTTATTGCAAAGCCCACAAGAAATATTCACAAGTTTTATATCTATATAAAGGGACTTTTGATATGTTAGTTGCTTTATGATTAAATATTTGTTAGACTCATTAAATAAGATAAAAATTAAATGTTAAATGATGAATAGTTAATGTTAGGGAGAGAGGGATAAGTGTATGAGAGAAAGGACCGATTTAAGGGTCAGTATTACTTGCATGCAAAACAAACGTACAATGGCCGGCCTATGAAGTACCCAGATACCCACTTTGGCCATCTGAGCTTGAATGCCCTTTGCCAAGAGGCCTTTAACAGCGCCTTCAGCGCATGCTGGTGACTCAAAGTCAACGAAACCGTAACCTGAAATAGAAGCAAAAACATATTTTAAATTTTCATAAATGTCAAGTGATGAATTCATGCTACAAATAAAACCATTAAATACCTTTACATTTATTGGTTGTTTTATCTAGAATGGCTTTAGTTGAAATGATGTTTCCATATCTGAAAGAAAATAAACAATGGAGAAAAAGAAGATTGGCATTAAATATCTTATCCATGAAGATGTTAATAAGTTGAAGCCTTGAAAACGGAGGGAAATTAAAGCTTCTGGCAACGGCAATTAAATTTTACAGTTGGAGATTACAAAGCATATCATCCGTTGATTTAGGATTAAAAAGTAAGAAGTGTAAGACGCAATCACAAGTTTATTTATAGCCTCAGGAGATTGTTCGAGATGAAAGATTTTCTTGTTTTCATCTCTTGTCATAGGCGCCACAAATACGGATCACTTTAAATTAGCTTGACTGAGCATCAGACAAATTTACCAAGGAAAACAGGCGGAAGAAAGGAAAATAAAATAAAATAAAAGGAAATTGCGTAGCAAGACTTTAAGATTTTCTTTCGATTTGCTTTTTACCAACTTGGAAGTTCCATTTTCTTGAGTGCTTTAATGACTTTCATCTTTACTTTATCATAAGAAAAATATGAAAGAACAAACAAAGACATGAAAATTTTTCTTTGCCTTGTCTTCTTCTCATTAGATGATTTCAATCTCAAGGATTTCAACTGATCCATGCGTCTTAATTTAGCAACGCGTCGAGACATGAATTTCCATAAATTAATTTAATTTTTGTCGGCAGAGATTTGAAGCTTTTTGTTATATGAAAATAGGCTCATTTTAAAAGCTGTCATGATTCACTCATGTGAGTGTTTTAACATTGTGAAAATTTTAATCTTTTCCTCTTCCGAAGCTTCTTTTAATTTTATGTTCAAATTTCGACTTTGCGGCGTGTTATTGTGCAAGCAATTAAGGGATTATTTTTTGACATGGAGTAAAAGGAAAACGAGAAACGAGAAACAGCTTCAAGGCGAAAGTTCAGTTCGTTATTCATTTTGATACTTACTGTGAACACATATTGTGTAAATCTTTGTCAGTCGTTCCCTGTTGTAAACCTCTAATGTATAAATTTGTTTTCGAAAGTTGCTCTGTTTGCTGGGGCGTGGTGCTCGGACCCATTGTATTGTTTGTATTTGTGTTGCTCAAACTTGTACTCAATGTACCGCTTTGTGATCCTGTGTTTGACGAGCTGCTTGAATTCGTGTTACTAGGTGAAGCGGCTGTTGGAACACGTTGTCCGTACTATAAAGAAGAATAAAGAAAGGAAGAACACATTAGTTTCACACTTACACACAATAAATGATTCAAGGCTGTTTCCATCAATCAAGTTTTTCTTTTGTTATCTTCAAAGAAAGGGAGAGAATGGAGTTGAGATGAATGGAGATCAATATGAGAGTGGATGGAAATTTTGAATCAATAGAACAGCATTAAAGGAGGTGAAAGAAAATAAATGTTAAGAAGAAATGAAAAATTATTCAACATGAACTGACGCACAAGAAAATGAAGTCGAACGGAGCCGTCGGGAGATTTTACACAGCAAGAATCTGAGATAATTCACTGGCCGTCTTAATTACTCAACTAAGTCCAAGAAAACATTTTCATTTCCCTTAAGAGTTTCCTCAAAAAGATTTCTCTAAAGCTGTAAACATTTTTCATGTTGTTTAATTATCATCAATCTCAAGTACTGAGAAAACAGAAACAAATGACGATGACCAACTTGGATCAAACTTTTCCTTCCTTTACTGCCAGCAATCATTATGAACACCAAAATATTTTCCTTTTATTTATTTTGAATTGTAAAAAAAACTTTTTAAAATACGATAACACAAACATTTTGTTGTTTTAATGTTTTTGAATCGATTCAAATTTCATCCCAAAGCAATTGAAGTATCGACGATAAAAATGATTTAAATTTTAATTGGATTCGTATCAAGTTTGATGTTTAACATTATTCGCGATTATGAAATCTGACATAATTAGCTGGGGGGAACAGAGGTGATGACAATAAAATAAAATAAAAAACATGAAAAGTTTTTCCGCATTTCAACAACTCCTGTGTGAGTTGTTTAACAATATAAATTATAAATGATGTCATGGAGACAAAATTGAAAAGTTTTCGGTGAAGTTTCCATGTTCAATTTAATGTTGATTATGCGAAAATTGAATGCCTTGATATCGATTATAGTAATTTAACTAAGTTCCATTTCATCTAAATTGTGTTTGTTTTATGCTTCTTCGATGTAATAAGAGAAATTTCTCTGAAGATTATAAATACTTATCTAAACAAATTTTTATCCATTTTAATCTTGGAAAAGCTTTTGGGGGATGAAAATTAGTATTCAAATGCCAAAATGTTCTTCTTTCAATGAATAAATTTCAAGTAATTTTCATGAAAATGTGGAAATTAAAATACCTGACCCTCGTCTATCTCTTTCGATTTCTAATTAAAAATGAATCAACTAAGAAGTAGAAGAAGACAGAAAGGTGAAAAATTTCATATTTTTCTTCTCGTTTTTCTAAGACAGTTATCATTGCTTCTGTTTCTCATGACAACTTTCGACAGATAAGCAAATTACTGAAGTTTAATTAGAATTTTAATGGAAAAGATTTCGAGTTTAGGAAGTTAAAGAAAAATTTAATTATGAAATAATTTTACATACACTGACAAAACCTTATCAAAAATAAATTCAGAGAAATTTTAGATCAACTAAGGCACTCAATTAATTTTCATTTCATTTGATGAAGTTGTGGTTAACATTTTCGTCAACTAATTTAATGTTGGGAATTATTTTTCTCTTATGAATAACACGAATGGTTGTGTTAAAGAAACATTTTCAATAGAAGATGCATTAAAGATTTTTTATAAAGCACTTGAAGCATAACATCATGTTGAGAAGATTTCAGCAACATTAATATTCATGCAACAATATCGGATTTAAAATTCAACTTTCTCATCTGACTTTGATAATACTTTGATAAAGAAAACTGAATTCTTGATGAAATCAAATTTAAAACAGGTTTTTCCTCCCACTCTTTACTACAAATTATTTTAATTAAACATAAATATAATCATAAATATGTATTTAAATCTTCCTAAAGATTTCAAATACAACATAGGAAAAATGTTTCCACTCCAGAAAACTTTCAACAAGATTTTGTATCAAAAAATGATTAATATAAATGAGATATAAAAAGCTACGAGCCTGAAACCATCAAAGCTTTCATAGATAATCGTTTTCATTACGTATTCTTATCCGGTCAAGATGCTTCGAAGCTTTCTTGATCATAAAAACTTATTAAGGCAGCACAATGTAATCTCTTCGTCAGGAAATTTGAAATTTTCTACATGCTTTGCTTCAATTTTCTTTCTTTCATGCCAAAGTTTCAACGATAACCTGTTGAATAAACATTGTCGTCCAATGAACAGCTTCAATCAATGTAATTACGGCAAGAAAAAAAAAACATTTCCATCAAAATTTGTTTCGTAATTTGGCACAAAGCAAAAAACCTGACGTAGAGGGTGGAGAAATTAATTTCTTGGTTTCTTTGCTATCGCTTTTTGACTTTCTTTCGCCAGGCCAGAGAATTTAATTTTGTTTCGTTTCGCTCCGTTGAGCTTTTAAAGAGGATTTTCTCGTGAAATGTAAACGCGAAGTAAAGAAGGCAATTTTCCTGATGGCTTGATCTACAAGACTACCCTGAAAAAAGAAAAGTCAATCGGATAGTAAACTCAAACATCTCTTTAGCATAATTTTCCAAGGGTGCTCGGATGGATATTTGTTTTACGAAATTCGTTAAAATTTCCTACGCGCAAATCACTTCAAAGCTTTTGTTTATGCTATTTAAGAAAATGTTTAAAATGAAAAACGTAAATTTGATATCAGAAATTTGTTAGAATATCTAATAAAGTTAAAGCTACGGTCAGTGGAATGATTAGATCCTTTGAAGTATCTTTCCTTATATTTATGTTTACATAAATTAAATTTTGATCAAAGTTCGTATGAAACCTCCGATTGCAATTTAAGTAAAATCAATATTTTTTGTTTATCTACTTAGAACTTTCTTAGTCCCTTAAACTTCTAGTTAATGTAAAATTTTAATGCTTAACTTTCCTTTTATCTTGACATAACTTCATTAATCAGAAAAGGCAGAGAACGATTAATCTCCAACATAATTTTATTGCGTCGCTTGGGAAAAACGTCTCGCGAATTTCTCAAATTTCCTGTTTCGTTGAGGTTTTCATTTAAGAGATTTTTCTTGAGAGCGTCCTTGGAAATGGAAAATAAAGGAAAATTAGGTGACGAATTTGAAGTTTCCATTAGAAGTTTTTCAATTTCCTTCGTCATTTCACAGTCGATTCAACATGAGAAATTTTCAATTAATTGTTTCAATCGATCGATTACTTAATGGAAGTGATTTTAAATTCTGAAATTCTTAAATTCGAAACATGGAACGACGTGATGATGAGAATTTCACATTGCTACTCAAACAGAGTAGTCGACATGTTGAAAGATTTTTAAATTAATGAGATACGACGATAGCAACATAAATAATGTTTTGATCTAAATACCGTTCGACACTCGCTTGTTCGCGTTGAAGTCTTTGAATATAAAACAGTTTAAAAACATGTAGCATCATTTATGTCATGTGTCACCACAAACATTCGATGACTACAAAAAGGATTTGCTAAAGCTTCATGTGTAGGATGGAGAAAAGCCGAAAACAGCCACAAACTGATATGGAAGTATTTGATTCCATAATGAAACGACAAAAGGCTTTAACATGAAAAATTCAAATCAATTTTCTGATGCGACAACATTAAAGTTGTGTTTTTGGTTGACTCTGCTTATGCTCCTTGCTCTGCTATACAGATTCGTAATCCGATTTGTGTGAACCTGTTGATTGTAATCAGGAATGCGTCTCGTGCTGGGGAGAATGGAAAATGTTTTCCCTCGTTTGCTCATAAAACTAACTTTTCCATTCCTCTTGATTTTCTAGTTTGCAAAAATTTACAATCGCTTTAATATGTCTGCACAGGGTCGTAAAAATTTGGGGTTTAGTTTGTGGAAATCTTTTTGTGATAAGAAAGTTTCATTAAATTAATTCTTACGAATGGTTGGAATCCCAATTCTAGTTTCACTTCAACTGTGTTCGAGTGTTGTTAAGGTTTGCTGAGTTTGTTGAATGAACATTTGAGCCGATCTCGATAAAAGAAAACATAACATTGAAAGTATTCTGTCAAATCCATTATTTCATTCATCCGAATTTTCCATCAACTCAACTTTCACATCTCCCTCATCTCCCTTGCCTCACTTTTAACAGTTTTTTTTGATAAGTGACGATGAGTGAGACACCAATGCGGAGTAAATAATTCCATCTAAATGTAAATCAACACGAACACAAGAATTATCTGACGATGATGGGGAAAATGTGATGAGAGATTATTATTTAGAGAAATTTTCCACCGAGGAAATCCGCAAACATCATCGGAATATTAATTTGTGATGTTCGATGACTTTTAACGAAAGTTTTTGTCAATTTATGATGTGACGAGAAGGCGACAAAAAGGATGAAGATTTTTTTTTCTATCGATGTGCGTCATCGTAAGAGTGTTAAAACAAATCCCACCCACGCAATGGTTTGTCATCGAATGGAATTTCATGAAGGATCTTTGTAATGAGATATCTAACTCTGTTTTATCAATTTAATTAACTTTATTTGAATATCTAAAAAAAGGAATTTTCTTCTTGTTCACTTCACTTCGCCCACAAATGAACTTTGGCACTTCTCTCAAACAGCATAAATAAAATTAAACAAATAAAAAAGGGAGGAATAATTCCTAAAGTTAATTTAAATAAACATCTATTTGAAAGTTGTAAGGAATTTGCAACCAAACATGTGAACAGAGCACAAGACAAACTGCTTCGAGTGAAATTTTATCGACATCGCTGATAAGGATTCCTAAACACATATTTTATGTCGTTTCCTTTTTCCTTCTTTCTTATCAGTTTGAGCGATAAGAATTTTCAATATGCTTGCAAATAAAAGCATGAAAATTGACTTCATCAGTTAATGGTGTTCGCTTAAGTATGCAAAGTTACATTTACATGTCGTGAATCAAATTGCGAAGAAAATTTAGCGTCTTTTGCCCTTCAGGGGGTCGTAACTTTCGTTTCATTGATCGATAAAATGTTATGAAAGTCGTTTCAGTGTATCTAATGTGAAATAAATGATTCTCCAACATTCTGTTTTTCGTTCTAAATTGAAGGAAAAAGAAAAGGAAAAGAAGAGTCGTGAACTCTTTCTCCTTGTGCGTCGAAATAATTTCTTGTTGTTTCATCATGTTCAACCAAATTTGCATACAAGGAACCGTTTCCTGCCATGTGGTATAAGAAGGAGAAAGGATCCAATTGTAGGAACATTAATCATAATGGGAGGAAAAGCTTTCAGTTTCTTTCTAGCAGCAAATCAACCGACAACTTTTCATCCCGCCATTCTCATTCTTAGAGTCACAGAACAAAAATGAAAGTAAAAGGAAGGAAAAAAAACGAACTTGAAAGATCAGCAAATTCAAACGAGCAGCAAATTTTATGTTCTTGTCTCCATGTTGCTGTCCTCGTATCTTTATGCAAATAAAAGGGTTCAACGAGGCAGATTAGGCTCACACATATTTTAATATATATATGAAATGAGGAAAAATTCCGTCAGAAATGCCGCAATGCTTGGAAGCAGCAAACAACATCCTTAAATATTTCCATGATGTCAGAAAGAAATGAATGAAATATTTGCTGAAGCATTAAAACATTATGCGTAAAACACCCACGTTAAAGTACCTTCAAAAGGAAAACGTTTTTGTTCTACTTTATTCTCATTCAAGTATTCGCGACCAACCATTTGCCAACATTTTTTCCTTTCTTTTCTGTTTTTGAATAAGAAATTACACAAAGAGAGGAAGCGAGAAGGAAAGAAAAGACAAAATAGAGAAAGAGAGAGGAAGGCAATAAATATTCTTATCCACGATGTATCTCACATTCTCAACAACTTTACCCATGAAAGATATTTTATGAGTTTTCTTTTGGCTTCGACAGAACGTGCCGGATCAGACAGAATTGCTTTTTAATAGAAAAATATTTCTGATTGCCGTATTATCGGAAGAGGAAATAAAAGTTTGAGCTACGTTTGAATATCGAATGAGACGAGGTAAAGTCGTGAATAAATATTTTTACAACTGTTTTCACACATTCATATCGCAACCCTCCCTGAAGTAACTGTTAGCAATGTTTTCCAAGCTTAAGTTTCTGTTTTACCCTTGGATAATCGCTTGTACGTTTCTTCCAGCTCACTTCATTAAGAATTTGTGTCACATTCAACTTGTTTAATATGCAACTATGTTTGTGTGAATGTTGTATGTAGATATTTATATTTAACAACAAAGTTTCAGTTTCATATCTAACCGAAACGAACAGGATGTGAAGGGAAAGGAAAAACGAGGAAAATACCTTTTTGTGTAAGGAGAGGGCGGCAACGACGACAACGACGACGATGATAATTCGAGTGCGAGTTGTAACGACTAAGACACAACCATAACAATTTATATTAATAAACCCCAAAAATATTTACTCGTCTTGAGTCAACGGAAAGCTTTTTCACTTCTTTTGAATTATGATAAATTCAAGATAATTATTAATGTTGCCACAAACACGCAATTTGACTTCATGGTAGATTAAGTTGCTTTCGTCAAACGTCACAACAGTTATGTAGATAATAACAAAGCATTAATTCCAGCATATATATTGATTTATCATTTACGCTTTTTTTTACGAGTGGTCAATATTTATTCGTTTTTTCGCTTTCAAACTGCTAACACAGCCGTAAGGTTTCGTTTTATTTTTGTCGACTCAGCAAATCATTTCTGATCATGAAATGATTGACAATAAAGCGAACAAAAAGGAATAAATATTCACGAAAATGGCATAAATATTGATTGCTTTTGATAAATTCACTTATGGACATCAATGTTAATTCATTGGAAGCAGTTCAGTGATAAGAACTCTTGAATAATTATCGTACCATATGGTAGAACATCAAATCAGTGTAATAACACATTTTACATCTTTCCTCCACTTAACAACACCACTTTAATGCTTTCACGTCTTCGATGTTCCTTTTCTTTGCGTAATAAAAATTATTATAAATTGTTTTTACTAAGCCACGCACAGCAATTTTGCGTAAAATTCTTCTTTTTGTTTTATTTTCTTCTTTAGTTTCTTCTTTTTTTTTTTGTTTGAAGGAAAAATAATCCAACAACCCGGTGATAACGCGACCAGCAAAATGCCACAACAAGAGAGAAGAAGAAATTTTATGAAAAGAAAATAATAAAAAATTTCCGCTTGAGTTAATCGCGAACTGCAAACAACAACAGTCTACAAACGACTACAAAAGCATGGGACAATGTTACATGAGCGAAACGCAACCATCGATATGAAGTAAGAAAAGATTTTCTCTCGTGCATGAATAGATAGCTTACAGTCATAGAAAAGCATTGCGAAATAAAAGTCTCTCTCAATGAATCTCACTGTTAGCAGTCTGAAAGCGAATATTGTTTTTTTTTTATTCTTTTTCGTTGCCACGTTGTTTCCAGATGGCACTTAGACTTTCGTCTTCGCGATTATACTTTTAAAGTTTAAATTTTAATCGCTTTAAAGAACATCATTGAAACTATTAAATTAGAAACTTTCAGTAAGACTGTCTGCGAGCGACGAGATGATAATAAAAAAATATTTTATGGCCACGAAAGACTCTCGCGCGTTTACTTTCGGGGCGTTTACTGTGAGCGCACGCGTCGAAAAATATTTCAAACACAAGAAGAAATGAAAAGAAGAAGAATGAAAGAATTGAGAAAAATGAGATTTTTCCCTATTGAATTTTATTTTATTTTATTTCTCCATGTGTAGTTGTGAGCCCATTTTGCTTGTAATTCGCAACATCAAAAAGGATTTTTCATAATAATTTCGCTTACTGAATGTTAGATGCGGGGTGGATGGGTAGAAAGTGTTCAGAAAATCCTTTTTACATTCATATCAAGAACAAGAGGATCTTTAGAGAAAAAAAGGGATTTTCATGTTGGATTCATCCGAGTTGTGTGCAAGATGTGGCTTGCTCCGTCTGCTGGAGCTTTGGACGATAATTTAATGGATTTTTTCGAAATTTTCCATTTCATTTTTCCAACTCATTTTTCCCATCATTCATGCATGAGAACATGAAAATGGTTTTTCCGATAATTTTCTTTTCTTAATACATTCATGGAATTGTTGGTTGATTCATCCGTGGAACGTGCACAACTGAAAGCTTTTTCAACAACTGACATTGATCCCACCGATTATTTTTAGTTCTACAAACAAACAAATTTATGTCATAGATTAATCTTCACTGCCACCACCACCACCACGCCTATTTCTATCATCAACGAAGATTGATTTTTCATCGAGGATATTTATTAACTGCCTTCAAGTCATTTTGCTGGTTAAGCGCTTAATTGTGTTTCGGACATTTTTCTAGGATATTTTTTTAATTGCTTTTCATAATCCCTCACAATTCCGATGATGTTTTGTTATTTGATAGCCTGGAGCGACACTTAATCATATTTCAAGGACTCACAATTCGTTAAAGAATTTATTGACGACAGGAGACTTCTCGTTAAAATATTTTTCTTATTTATTAATATTTATTATCAAGTAATTTGAGATGATGACGTAAGTGATTATTTATTGAGAAGCAGGAAGCTGATCATCACAATCTTGAAGATTTCATCAAGCAGTTTACCGTTTTTTAATTTGTTGTAAAATTTATTAAATCAAAGACATTTTTATTTATCTTTTTCACTCTCAAGTCTCATACATTAATACAACCAATTAAATTAGCGAACTCAGGCATTGCAATGCAGTAAATTAAACCATCTAAGATTTATTTCCTTGCTTCGTTTAACCAAGACGCACGGTTCTTGCTGGTAATTTAAGAACTGCAAATAATTAATGTTGTATTCAATCGGATGGCTTCCCGTTTCCCTTGTTAAAGGAAACGAAATTAAAACTAAGAAAAATAAAGAGAAGAAAAAAGGAGAAAAATGTGAAGTTTTTATTGGAGTTTTGTTTAAAACTGTGTTCACATTCTCATAAATTGCGGAATTGAAGAGGAAGCAACTGTTTTCGTGAGTTTCGATTGAAGTCACTCTTGAGCAGCTAACTTTGGAAGCTCTCACTTATGTTGCAATATAAATTGAAGTGCTAGATTTATTTTATCTATTTCGTGGCACATATTTTCTAAAAGTTTTCATTCCAAAGTTTGCTTCTCATTTCCGCTTCGCTTTACTTTCTTCTTAGTTCTTTTCAGTTGCTCATAGTGTTCGCTTGTGATGCATTTGTAAGAGCTCGCATGCAGAATAATAAAAGTGTGCAATGAATATTTAGCAATGAATATTTGGTTGGCTAGATCGGTTGATGTTGTACATAGTTTACGAGAAGAAGTAGATTATGTTGTGTTGCAGAACAAGGAGAATATTAAGCATTGCTTATGTTGCGGAATGAATTCAATTGAGCTCATCATACAGATATACACAAAACACCAAACGACCTGGTGAACAAGTCGATTAATTGAATATTACGCTATGTAATCGGATATTTGAGAACATGAAGGATTTGCATTTATTTATTTATCTTCCTTTCCCAATAACTTAAGCTTAGATAAATCCAAGTATTTACAAATTGAAATGGATCACTGAATAAATCTTTCAAATGATTTTCATTTCAAGAAGCTCAACGTCGTTGTTTGCTTGCAGTAATTGCAATTTGAATTGCTAACAAATTAAAGTTTTCGTCTCAATTATCATCAATCTTCGGGCAATTAAAAAGAAAATTGTTGTCAACAATCTGATGTCTTAATGTTAATTAACAGAATCTCCACAAATTTCCTTTTCTTTACTATTATAGAAACGAAAACTAGCGAAGTGAAGTAACATGAGAATGAGACGTAAATCATTTCTAACTAAGAATCTGGTTGAAGTTTTAATGTTGGGTCGACGACGTCTCGTTGGCAAAGCTTAGAATAAATGAACGAAACATGAATTGACTTTAAAAATATTATGAAAGAAGATCTTAGCACATTATTATGTAAATAAAATAAAAGCGGCGCTGCCGAAATGGCGTTGAAATGATTGTCGTGAAATCTTTATTTTCCTCTCGGGGTCCTCTGTCGTCTCATCTCAAAATGGTCTCAAAATACTTTAAAGATTCAATTACAAGACACAGCGACGGCACAAAATAACATCACGCGACAATGAAAATTTCATTACGTGAAACGAACAAAAAGATTGTAAATAATGTTTTACGAGATTTCCTTCAAACTTCTTGAATTATGNATCAGGAATGCGTCTCGTGCTGGGGAGAATGGAAAATGTTTTCCCTCGTTTGCTCATAAAACTAACTTTTCCATTCCTCTTGATTTTCTAGTTTGCAAAAATTTACAATCGCTTTAATATGTCTGCACAGGGTCGTAAAAATTTGGGGTTTAGTTTGTGGAAATCTTTTTGTGATAAGAAAGTTTCATTAAATTAATTCTTACGAATGGTTGGAATCCCAATTCTAGTTTCACTTCAACTGTGTTCGAGTGTTGTTAAGGTTTGCTGAGTTTGTTGAATGAACATTTGAGCCGATCTCGATAAAAGAAAACATAACATTGAAAGTATTCTGTCAAATCCATTATTTCATTCATCCGAATTTTCCATCAACTCAACTTTCACATCTCCCTCATCTCCCTTGCCTCACTTTTAACAGTTTTTTTTGATAAGTGACGATGAGTGAGACACCAATGCGGAGTAAATAATTCCATCTAAATGTAAATCAACACGAACACAAGAATTATCTGACGATGATGGGGAAAATGTGATGAGAGATTATTATTTAGAGAAATTTTCCACCGAGGAAATCCGCAAACATCATCGGAATATTAATTTGTGATGTTCGATGACTTTTAACGAAAGCTTTTGTCAATTTATGATGTGACAAGAAGGCAACAAAAAGGATGAAGAATTTTTTTTCTATCGATGTGCGTCATCGTAAGAGTGTTAAAACAAATCCTACCCACGCAATGGTTTGTCATCGAATCAAATTAAAAGTGTCAACCACTCTTCCATGGAATTTCATGAAGGATCTTTGTAATGAGATATCTAACTCTGTTTTATCAATTTAATTAACTTTATTTGAATATCTAAAAAAAGAATTTCCTTCTTGTTCACTTCACTTCGCCCACAAGTTACAAATGAACTTTGGCACTTCTCTTAAACAGCATAAATAAAATTAAACAAATAAAAAGGGAGAAATAATTCCTAAAGTTAATTTAAATAAACATCTATTTGAAAGTTGTAAGGAATTTGCAACCAAACATGTGAACAGAGCACAAGACAAACTGCTTCGAGTGAAATTTTATCGACATCGCTGATAAGGATTCCTAAACACATATTTTATGTCGTTTCCTTTTTCCTTCTTTCTTATCAGTTTGAGCGATAAGAATTTTCAATATGCTTGCGAATAAAAGCATGAAAATTGACTTCATCAATTGGATTCAACCTTCTCTAGGAAAAAGTATTCAAAGTTGGAAGTAATTTATTAAATTGCGTTTTATGCCTTAAGGGAGTCATAACTTTCACTTTATTTATTTAACTTTATTTATTTAAAGATTAAAATCTCCTGATGTTTAAGAAGAAGAAAAATTTTGAAAATGTTTTAAAGAACTTTCACATCTGATCGTTTCTAAACTTTAGGTTTACTTTTAAGAAATAAAATTAATGCTCATAAAAATAGTTTCAAATCGTTCTCATAAATTGAAGTGCTAGATTTATTTTATCTATTTCGTTGCACATATTTTTTAAAAGTTTTCATTCCAAAGTTTGCTTCTCATTTCCGCTTCGCTTTACTTTCTTCTTAGTTCTTTTCAGTTGCTCATAGTGTTCGCTTGTGATGCATTTGTAAGAGCTCGCATGCAGAATAATAAAAGTGTGCAATGAATATTTAGTCTCTGGTTGGTTGGCTAGATCGGTTGATGTTGTACATAGTTTACGAGAAGAAGTAGATTATGTTGTGTTGCAGAACAAGGAGAATATTGAGCATTGCTTATGTTGCGGAATGAATTCAATTGAGCTCATCATACAGATAAACACAAAACACCAAACGACCTGGTGAACAAGTCGATTAATTGAATATTACGCTATGTAATCGGATATTTGAGAACATGAAGGATTTGCATTTATTTATTTATCTTCCTTTCCCAATAACTTAAGCTTAGATAAATCCAAGTATTTACAAATTGAAATGGATCACTGAATAAATCTTTCAAATGATTTTCATTTCAAGAAGCTCAACGTCGTTGTTTGCTTGCAGTAATTGCAATTTGAATTGCTAACAAATTAAAGTTTTCGTCTCAATTATCATCAATCTTCGGGCAATTAAAAAGAAAATTGTTGTCAACAATCTGATGTCTTAATGTTAATTAACAAACTCTCCACAAATTTCCTTTTCTTTACTATTATAGAAACGAAAACTAGCGAAGTGAAGTAACATGAGAATGAGACGTAAATCATTTCTAACTAAGAATCTGGTTGAAGTTTTAATGTTGGGTCGACGACGTCTCGTTGGCAAAGCTTAGAATAAATGAACGAAACATGAATTGACTTTAAAAATATTATGAAAGAAGATCTTAGCACATTATTATGTAAATAAAATAAAAGCGGCGCTGCCGAAATGGCGTTGAAATGATTGTCGTGAAATCTTTATTTTCCTCTCGGGGTCCTCTGTCGTCTCATCTCAAAATGGTCTCAAAATACTTTAAAGATTCAATTACAAGACACAGCGACGGCACAAAATAACATCACGCGACAATGAAAATTTCATTACGTGAAACGAACAAAAAGATTGTAAATAATGTTTTACGAGATTTCCTTCAAACTTCTTGAATTATGATCACAGAAATAAAGTTTCGGAGCATCAGAACAGAGCAGGAAACGACGTTGAGACTGAAAGAGTTAAAAGAAGTGAAAATAATTTTAATCGCTAACGATAAGCTTGATAGTCAAGTGTAGAAGTGAAACGAAAAGAGATTTCATGTCCATGCCGAATTGCCTGCGTTTTAAAGGATGAACAATGAAAGTGAAAAAAATAAAGAAATGAGAAACAAACTGAAGCTGCTGCTGCTGCTGGTGGGGGTGTAGATGGAAAAGCTTAATTACGATGATTGTGATGAAAAATGTTTGCAGCAAATTATTATCTCACAGAAAAATGAGACCAAAGGGAAGCTGGAGCCGACCGGACGAAATCATAAAAGATTTTAACTCATTATTACGATAATAAAAAAATATTTTCTGCAATGCTAAATATTGCTTGAAAAAATTACTTTTAATGTTTGATGAAATGATGCTCGGGTTAGGCAGAGCGTTTTTAATTATGGAATGTGAAAGTGATACAAAGATAAAATTAATTTCAAATTTATTTAGGAAACAATTACAAAATACGTTTCCCATTTTTAGTTAAGCGATGTGGCAAGAATGATAATTTTCAATGGGGAATGATGGTGATGTGGATAGAAATGAAAATATTATTCAACCAATTATTGCTTCAAAAACAATTAAAGTTTTGAAAGAGATTCGCAAATTAAAATCCTTATCGTTGTAAAACTAACTTGCGAATGCATTTAGAATGAAGCCATCAATTTATGTTTGAATGATTTTTAATTTTTTATGATATCCAAATGCAGATTTTTCTTAAAACAATGAGAACTTCAAATCTCTCCCACTTTCCTTCAATCTTCCCTTTTTTTGAGCTTTTATATTTGCCATTGAAAGATATCATAAAGAACAACAGTTTCCCATCTGCAAACTTAAGCAATTTCAACAGCAACGTTTTCCGTCTCCTTTTCCTTCTCGTATATTTTCCCAATAGATTCATTCTACTTGCTCTTTGCTGGTACTTTGCTGAAGAAAGATGGAAAACTTAAAAGGATTATTGTAATAACATCATAGATGAATCTTCATTGTTTCGAGCGAACATAAAGCAATTTACGAAATGTTCAACTTTTTGTCTTTTCCCACCCCATCTTGAACGCTGCTGAGAAAATGAAAAACAATTTGAAACATATTTTAAGATGTTATTTTAATACCCCAGAATCGCTTCTCTCTGCTGCTTTGTTAAACGCTTCTTGTCTTGAACTTTGCCAACGCGAATCATGTCTTGTGAGTTTCACATTCCTCACTCACAGAAAAAAGAAAAGTTTCTCTTAAAATATACTTTTAAACATATTTTGGATTACTTTGCCAAACATACCGCCTCCATGAAAATGAAAAGTCAGTAGCAGGGGAAATGTTTCAACAACAAAATTTAATGAAACGGCTTTTCAACAAATACTTGTTACCATGTCGATTCCGCTTCGAGTCATTTCAATTACTTGATAAAACTTGAATATAAGAGCGATTTTTGTTTGTGCTGACAATCATCGAACGATAATCGAAAAGGATGTTTAAGAGCGATTTGTTCCACAACACAAACAAAAATCGATTTTACATGTAATTGACTTTTGAATTTGCCTTCTTGTTGTTGTTATTTGTGAGGAAATTCAATGACGATTCAGAGTTTGATTTCAATTGTTTGTTGAAACTCCTTCATATACATTTTCTATATATGCATAAGAGCCGTACGAGAATAGTCAAAAATTCAATTCTCGTAAAGCTTTCGATTAAAGCTTAAGCTTATCATGTTTCCAGAAGTTATGATATGTATTCAAAATCGAGAGTTTATTCTTTATTGTCATGTCTGCCATTTCATTATAATTCAAACAGCCTAAAGACAACCCGATAACAAGCATTACGACACCAACATCGTCAACATTAGATGCGGTTAAAAACCCAATATCCTAAGAACTTTCCCACATATTCTAATCTAACAATCATCCGTCAAATCTGAATAATTTATACTCGAGAACCTCTTGGGAGTATAATTTCATCAACATCAATAAATGCTTTGCAAACGAGGTTTTAAAATATGTGATTAAGGATGTTATTGTTATCGCGTGTTTGTCATGTTCACGCATGCAGAAATAACAACGCACAGCAAATGAACAAGCAGTAAGGTAAATAATAAAAGTCTCAATCGAGATAGCATTTTTATGTTCTTCTGTTCATCTTATCGCGCTCGTTTCATTTCATTCTATGCCTACATCAATTTATCATTCAACCTAGCGGTGCAAAAGAATTTGTTGTCGGCTTATTCGTGCGTTAAACGTGTTTACTTCCGACTTTTTTTCTTTTAGCTTCTTGAACATTGAGTCATACTTCAAAAAGTGCGATATTACATCATCAAAGTTCTCCTAACAAATTCTGTTCTCGAAGTCGCTAACATCTCACACGAAGCTCCGAGCTTGTCTGTGTCAGAATAATAAGCTTACTGTTTATGGCTTTCGCACCACAAGAAAATAACTTCGCATGATTTTTTTTATGTTCGCAATTTCTATGTGTGAATTGTGATGGCAGTTGAGGTGAATTTATCACTTTTTTCCTTCTATTTTGATTCACCTTTCCACGTTCTGTTCTTCATTCATCTCCCACCTCATAAATGAAGTTGAATTTAATCTCTTTTTCCTCTTCTTTCATGCTTTTTTCTGTTGTTGTCGTCTCTTCACATTCAATTGCGCCGACAACACCAAATCATCATCATCATCATGTTTATGTTTGATTTGATTTCGTTCATCGTTCATCTCATCATCGAATGTTATTTTCATCAAAATTCGCTTTTTATTTGTTATCAATGTGCGATCTCGATCTGTCAAGTATTTGTTTTTCATCTTACAACTCGAGGCTGGTTTCGTTTGGTTGTTTGTGGGGGTGGTGGAGTGAAGTTGGTGTACATTCGGCAAATAAACGTTCTTCCATATCAATTCGATCACATTTTCTGTTGTGTGATGCGAAATGTAATGAAAATGTAAGAAAAGAAAGAAAAAAGGGACGAAAATCAATTTTATTTGTTGTCAGAGGAGTCGAAGCTTTTTCTCAGGTTTGTCCTTAATGATTATTGGCATGGCAGTGAATTGAATGTTGCGGCTTGTTTTTATTGTTGACTTTCGCCTTGGGAAGGGAGAGAGAGAGAGAGAGACGTTATCGGATGGGAAGAAGAAGAAAGTCAGAGAATTTGAAATCATTTCTGAGATCCCAAAAGTAAAAGTCAATGTTGCGTGCATTTGATTTGATTCTATTCTTGTGCTTTGTGTTCGTCGTTGCCAAAGAATCTTAAGTTAAGAATGATTTACGGTTTAAGTATTTGTGTACAATTGACGAGCAAAGGCGAAGATATTTTAAGAAGCTTTCGAAACAACTTTTAAAAAAGTTTTGGCCCAAAGCCCTTGTTCTTAAATCTCCTTCCGCTACTGACATCAAGTGTCGAAGTCCTTCACTCACCCAACGTTTTATTTCTATTCATTTAATGATTATTTCATTTCACTTTTCCCTCTTAACTTCCGCTTTAGATTGAAATACCAAAAAACTGATGATAATCCATCCCAATCTCCATTTTAGCTAAATTCATTCATTGTTGAGTTAATAACGTAACAGAACAGCTGGGAGGATGAAAGTGGAACGCTTAAAGAAGGTTTTCTTTACCGAAGGATTAAAATTATGTGAAAAGGACTTTAATCTCTTCCATTTCCATCTCTTCATGCTGCGGTTTCCATGCTGCTCTCTGGATCTGATTCATGACTTCCAAACATAATGTTTAGCAATTCAGGTAATTGAAATGGCACCTGAGCCAAAACATTTTCCCACTTTAAAGATTCTTATTGTGAATTTTGATTTATAACTTTTTGAAATGCCTATGAGACGAGTTCAATGGAAGCAATGCAGCTTACAATAAATAATCATGAGACAATTAAAGCATAGAAATCATGTCGAACACATAAATAAAGTGGAACAATCATGGAAACATTCCAACGGCTGTAAACTGTTCAAGAACATTGAAGACACGATAAAGCGACGTGGTGTTGTTCGTTGTCATGTTAATGATGTTTCCATTTTGATTTCCCGTCAAATCAAAGAACTTCTTTCTCGTCAACGTTGCACAATTTCTGCTGAGTGAATATCTTGGCTTCTGATAACATTTCAGAGATGTTTGTGACTGTGTGTGGGTGGATTAGTTAAAAATGTATGCGAGTAGGCAAAAGCAAAGAAATGAAATGAAATGTTTATCAATCAATTTAAAAGCAGAAAATATTTCTCACAAGAAGTTGATTTATTGTCGCACAACAACAAACGATAACAAGAAACAGAAAATTTCAGTTCGAAACTTGAACGAGATTTATTGATGCGATTGTTGAGAATCCATCATCACTGATCTGTTCGTTTTATCTTCAATAGAATAGGAAACTCACAATCATGCCGAGACCATCATGCTGTGACATCACATAAGTTTAAGTAACAATTGAATTATGTTCCAAATGCTCAACAATATTTCAAATGATAAGAGAAGGAAAAGTTCGAATTGAAATGTAGATGAAGATGTCCGGGGAAATCTTTAACTTGCTTATCGATAGATTCATGCTTGAAATGTTTATGAAATTCTTGATAGATATGACGTAAAAATAACTTTAAATATTTATGAAGAACTCTACATTTGCAATTGATGATTCAAAATATGCAAAGGAACATTAGAATATTCGCTATCGAAGGAAAACCTTTTCCTTGAATTTAAAATTTAAATAAATCGATTGATCTTTTCAATTTCATGAAAAAAAATAAATAAAATCTTTTTCATGTAACTAACCGAAAAAGCAAAGTTACACGTAAATAAATATTTAATGGATAAAAGCGATATTTTGTGTGTGAAACTTTCTCCTTTTCATTTTTAAACTGATAGCCATTTTTCTCCGATGGATGATATCAACAAAACGTGTACAACTGTTTGAAAAATGGAAAAGAGTGAGGGGATTGGAAAGGGTTAGAAGTTGGAATGAAAGTCACTTACTCAACTGAACATTTCTCATTTGGTCGAGATTGAATTTGTTAAACTTTGAACTTTGGATCTTCTCCATGAACTGTTCGTCTGCTGTTGCGCTTCTGTCAGTGTTTATATAAATGAACTTCGATTTCAAATCAGAATGTATGAGATATTCATGAATTCAAAGTTTTTTTTACTTCTAACGCTTACTTGTTGGTAATTTTATGAGAAATTGAAAGCAAGAAAATGAAAGAAAAAAATTTGATTCTGCCATTCTGGGAAATATTTATTCAACATAATTTCCGCTTTAATTCTAGATAAATAGTTTCATCTTGATTAACTAACTAATGACCATTGCCTTGAGAACTTTCAAAGAACTTTCTTAAAGAAAATTTTCTTATTATCTTGAATTTCTTCTTTTTTTATTTTTGTTTGTTTGTTGGAAATATCAGAAAGCTTAGAGCGAGTGCTTGAAATTTTCCTTGAACCAACTTCGAGTCCCTCTTAAAGTTGTGAACTTTTACTTCATCGACTTGGAATTGTTTCTTTTTCTTTTGGTGAAAAAGTTTTCCTTTGATTTTCTTTAGAAGCGACGTTTTTGGATTCACGAGCTTTCTTCACAATCAAGTTGAATTCCAAAAGCGTTTTTGTTTTCTATCACTTAGTGCAATGAAATCACTCTTGATGCAAGTTTTATGAATCGTAAATTTAACGTCTGTCTTACTATACTGTGCTGGTCGCATCGTAATGATATTTATCTTTGAATAAATTTCTATCGAAGATAAAATAGACATGCGACATCAGGCATTATAGAAAAGATAGAAAACATCGTTCAGAAAAGTAACTTGATGCTTTAATACCCATTCAAAACGTTAGCGAAACTGAGAACGTGACGAGAATTTTATCGATCGTCACAACGTCTTTCGACTGGAATGAGAATGGCTGATATTAGTGTATACTTGATAGAGGTTCATGTCAATATCTGATGCACACCAAAAACTCTTCCTTTTGCCACTTCGACATCGTTAGAATGTCATTTAAGAAATTAAGACTTTCTATCATAAATTACTGTCGTTTGCATGCATTACGCTGAATAATAATGAGCATTGAAAAATACATGCTTTTTTATTAAGTAAAAGAGCATTTGATGCCTCATTAAAGTTATTAAAACTTGATACTTTTTCTTCCTCTTCATAGTTTGCACAATGTAGACTACCATAATAAATTAATCATCTTTTTTATTTCTTGCTAATGATGATGCAGATTCTTGTTTCTGTTGCTAACTTATCTAACATAATGAAAAGGAAAGAAAAACTTTCACATAGACCGTTTGAATAATTGTTGTCTATATGTCGCTATTCATCCGCTTCTAATCATTCTCATTTACTTCCCTAAATCATTAGTTTTCACTTAAGTTAATCAGTAATGGAGATCAATTTTGGTAATTTTTTCTCCCCTTCGATTAATGGACATTCGATGAAAGCGACAATGTTTTTATTCTACACCAACATCTGTTCCACCCTCATATTATTAATCGATCCAATATTTTCACTCGTAGATTGAATGTAAAAGCGCTCAACAACCGCAAATCATCGCTAATGATAAAAACATAAAGCAAAAAAAAAGCTTTCGATAATCTTCGTAAATCATTTTCACTGTGAACGCTTTAAAGTCCAAAATAAAATGATTGTAATTAATCATTACAATTACAATCACGAGAGCATAAATCTCATACAACATAAATATGTTGACGACAAACACTTAAATGGTGAAATATGATGACTTAACACAGATGAGTGATATCTGAGAGGGAGTGACAAACAACGGAATAACTATTTAGTTAAACGAAAGCAATTAGTGTTGATGATGACTATTTCATCTGTTCTTTGATTGAGTTATGATGACAAGTTGTATTACTTTAATGACAGCTGTAAATTTATTTGTCATGATTGCGCTTGTCTTTGACTTTTATTTTTCATTCTCTTCAATCAATTTTATTCTAGTTTAATTTGAATTTTTCAATTTTCACTTCCTGACGGAACGTTGAAATGTGAAAAATCAAATAATTCTTGATATTTAAAACAAATTTGAATAAATAATTTATTGATTTTGTTTCTATTTATTTGTGCTTGTTTTCACCTTGCTGGAAATTTTTGAAGCTTTTCAAGAGCTTATCTGATATATTTTTTAGGATCAAGCACGTTCGGATATTTTTTTTTGATATAAAGTTGTCGTTTTGAAAAGAATCGGAAACAATTTATCATCAGATATTTGAAACGATTAATAATAACAAAATACCTTTTTATCTACATCCGAGTAGGATCAGAATCAACAAAGTTACAATTTCATATAACTAAGACGAATTCTGCTCACAATGATGTCAAATCTTTATTATAAATTACTTCGTGGAGTTTTCTTTTGAATTGATATTCTATTTCACACTCCGGGAGCTTCAAATCATAATCAAGGATGTTCCCCAAGTTGGCAATAATGTATGGATACCTACACATAAGAAATAAAAGGAGTAGATATTTATGTACAATAATAATATAACGAAGGTTTACAAAGTCAGTTTAGGAAAGGTTTACATCCCAATAATAATTTTTCATCAGAAACAAACTTTCGTATTAAATCGAAAACTGAAAGCTTGTTGCGCAATTTCACATTCTTTATCGTTTTCATTTCTTGGGATTAAGAAAAATCGTTTTCATCAGATTCAAATACAACAGGAAGGGGAAGAAGAAAACATGACAACCTGTGATGATTGCGCCTAAGAGGATTCATTTCCACATAAATTTCTATCTTGTGCTTAGATTCATTTATTGACGGCTGAATTGAAAAATCATTTCAAAGATTATTTAAAACATTGATGAAAGCTTTGAGGAAAATGATTGGCAGCAAATGTTTGATCTTCTTTAAGATTTAAAACTCTTTAAAATTAACGAAGAAAACTTTGAGGACTCATCTTTCGTTGAACAGGAGTTTACGATGCTAATAACGCACTTGATGATGTTCTCAGAAAATTTAAATAACATTTAATAAAAATTTATTTTCTTTTCATTCTTTTCCATAATTGGATTTTCTTCTTTATAAATGATGAGAAATGATATCATTATCGATCGTATTTTTCGCTCTCAATCGCTTTTCTTTCGACTTTAACGATTTTATTTGTTCAACTTTCGAGTGACTCTTAGAAATTGCTTTTCGAGCTTCTAGAGTAACGAAGTAGATATCATAGAAAAGAGGGAAAATAGACGCATTCACATTTAATTTCATTCCATTCGGATATTATTCAACTTTTATTCCGGAATTTATATTTGTTTAATGAAATTATCTTTATGAATTCTCCTTGATTTTCAAAAGCTGTTAATCTAATTAATTTGTAATTAAATAATCTGTTTTTTAATAAAAGGGAAAAATGGATGAATTCATTTAAGAGTTCAATGAATTGTTTTGTTGACATTGCAAAACCAACATTNTCGTTGTCGAAGAATCTTAAGTTAAGAATGATTTACGGTTTAAGTATTTGTGTACAATTGACGAGCAAAGGCGAAGATATTTTAAGAAGCTTTCGAAACAACTTTTAAAAAAGTTTTGGCCCAAAGCCCTTGTTCTTAAATCTCCTTCCGCTACTGACATCAAGTGTCGAAGTCCTTCACTCACCCAACGTTTTATTTCTATTCATTTAATGATTATTTCATTTCACTTTTTCCTCTTAACTTCCGCTTTAGATTGAAATACCGAAAAACTGATGATAATCCATCCCAATCTCCATTTTAGCTAAATTCATTCATTGTTGAGTTAATAACGTAACAGAACAGCTGGGAGGATGAAAGTGGAACGCTTAAAGAAGGTTTTCTTTACCGAAGGATTAAAATTATGTGAAAAGGACTTTAATCTCTTCCATTTCCATCTCTTCATGCTGCGGTTTCCATGCTGCTCTCTGGATCTGATTCATGACTTCCAAACATAATGTTTAGCAATTCAGGTAATTGAAATGGCACCTGAGCCAAAACATTTTCCCACTTTAAAGATTCTTATTGTGAATTTTGATTTATAACTTTTTGAAATGCCTATGAGACGAGTTCAATGGAAGCAATGCAGCTTACAATAAATAATCATGAGACAATTAAAGCATAGAAATCATGTCGAACACATAAATAAAGTGGAACAATCATGGAAACATTCCAACGGCTGTAAACTGTTCAAGAACATTGAAGACACGATAAAGCGACGTGGTGTTGTTCGTTGTCATGTTAATGATGTTTCCATTTTGATTTCCCGTCAAATCAAAGAACTTCTTTCTCGTCAACGTTGCACAATTTCTGCTGAGTGAATATCTTGGCTTCTGATAACATTTCAGAGATGTTTGTGACTGTGTGTGGGTGGATTAGTTAAAAATGTATGCGAGTAGGCAAGAGCAAAGAAATGAAATGAAATGTTTATCAATCAATTTAAAAGCAGAAAATATTTCTCACAAGAAGTTGATTTATTGTCGCACAACAACAAACGATAACAAGAAACAGAAAATTTCAGTTCGAAACTTGAACGAGATTTATTGATGCGATTGTTGAGAATCCATCATCACTGATCTGTTCGTTTTATCTTCAATAGAATAGGAAACTCACAATCATGCCGAGACCATCATGCTGTGACATCACATAAGTTTAAGTAACAATTGAATTATGTTCCAAATGCTCAACAATATTTCACATGATGAGAGAAGGAAAACATTAAATCGCAAGTCGACAGAAATGTTGGCAGAAAGACAGACAAGACAAGACACGGAAAATCTTCTTCAACTTCTGAAAGTTAGAAGTAAAAACGTGAAAAGCAACAGCAAAGAAATGTTATCAATCTATTTTTGATCTCCTCAGAGAAAATCACTTTTTTATTGATGTCATCGGCAGAATCGAGTTTTGTGCTGCAACTTTTCTTCTTCCTTATTTCTTTTACTTATTTTTTTCTTGTACATTTTCTGACAACCTTATAGCATGAGCCTTTTATGGCTGAGATTTCAATCTTCGTTTTTTTTCTTTCGATAACTCCCAGAATGTGACATGATTCGACTTGAAATGACATTTGAGTTTTTAAGATTGGGAAATGAGCGGTTGAAAGATCTTCCGTCTTCTTTCAATCGATTTTTAATCTTGTAAAATGCCAGTTCAACTTCCGTACGTTACAAACAAGCGATAAATTAAACGAAACTTGATTGATTTTGATTTGAGCTTATGACAATTAAAAATCTGAAACCCGACTCACCGTTGTTGTCGTATGTTGCGTGTATGCATAAGCTGGTTGTGCTGCTAATGGTGCTGAATATCTGTAAGCTTGCTGTGCCGGCGCGTATCCTTGTGTCCAACCAGCTCCACCTCTATAAGGAGCGCCTGAAATTGCTCCTGCTGGACTTGTCATAGCGGGACCGCTTGGTCGTTGATTCCCCTTTATATGTGGGGGTGCAGCTCCTGGGTAAGGATTACGAGGAGCAGACGAACCGCCCTATAAATAAAATAAAACATAAAAATCTCATTAGCATCATCGTGGTCAGCCAAAACGTTTTTTATTTCATTTAAATCTGCAAAAATAAAACAATTTCTCATCGAGTTATTAGAAGAAAAGCTCAGACCATAAACATTATTTTGGAATCCCAAAAGAAAGTGAAATAAATTATACATGAGAAATAATTTTCCATATTTTCCGACTCAGATTTTTTTATGAATATTTCATTCTGTTCTAGTTTTGCGAAAGTAATTTTCAACCAAAATTTAAACAGAATTACGTCAAAAATAGTGTAGGAGTTGAGAGAAGCAAGAGAATTAATAAAAATTCAATTTTTATTCAACAAGATATCCAATGCAGAGAACATTTTTTATTTATTTCATTTCGACATAATAAACTCAATGAAAATTTGCTTGTTGAAAGTTGGAAGTTCGTCGAAGATTGAAACTTCTTTATAAGATGACTTGCAGTCTGTTGCTATTCTTTTGTTGTTCTCTTTTTATTGTCAGATGCACGTAAGTGAATTTTAATGTTTCATCCATTCGAAGGAAGATACATGGCGATGATGATTTATTCAGTTCAGTTATTTTTAGAATATCAAATTTATTGTAAGATGGAAGATGGAAGAATAATACAAACCGATATGAAAAGAAACTTTTGGCTTTGCAATTCGATTCATGATCATTTCATCTTGATTTACTAATGATCATCGCTCCGGGGTATTTCCAAAACTTTTTATAATTTTTAAAAAAGAAGAATGTAGAAGTTTATCTAGATAAAAGTTTCTTTTTCTTTGCGACTATAAAAGGCATCAAATGAGCTTTTCTCAAGCTTTCTCCAAATAGAAAATGTTGCTCTTTAAGACAATAAAAATGTTGCAAATGTTTCCATCTCGATGACTTGCCTTCATTCGTTTAAATCGTATCAAAATTTTACCAGCTCTCGAAGCGACCATCAAACTCACATTGTAAAGTTCCATCCATTACAGACAGCGTGCAATGGAAATGTTTTTTTTATTCGAGTTTTATGAGACATGAAATTTATGCTTTGGAAGTGCTCGACTTGCAACTATGTCGGTCGCTCACACATTTTTACTTCCACTTCTTTCCTCCTTTCATGTTTTTTTTTGTTCTTCTATCAAGGAATTTCCACTCTGAAAATGTGAAGTGAAGACAAGAGAAGGCGCCTAAAATGGAACTTGATACCTTAATATTCGATTCTAAACGATTCTAAGCCATTGCGAAACTGAGAACGTGACAAGAATTTCATCGGTGTCCGTCGAGAAAGCATCTCTCAATAGAAAGTGGTTGATATTAGTAAAGTTGATGGAGGTTCTTGTCAATATGTGATGCATATCGGAAACGGCTTTTTTTCTTTCTTGCGGCATTATTATGACATCGAAGAAGTTGACATGACAAAAATTACGCCATTTGAAAGTTGAAGATTGGACACTCATAAATTACAGTTTTCTTCCTTGCATGACTCTGAATTTTAATAACATAAATGACGAAATATTTTCTGTGGTGTTTATCGAAATAAATAAAATTTGACGCTTTATAAAAGCGATTAAATTTTGAAACGATGATTCTTTGCCATGGCTTCGTGCTTCGGTAACTCGTGTAGCTAATTAATCATTATTCTTGATATCTCGTAATTTTTTATATTTTTCCTTTTCTTATAAAAACGGATGGAAATGATGCAGGCTCACGCTTGTTTGTGTGCGTAACCTAAAATAAGAATGAGTCTTGACATGAAACATTATAAGCCTCCATTGTTGTCGTCATTCATCAGTTACTAATCAGAGTCATTTACTTTCGTCAGTCAACGGAATTAGCTTCCATTGGGCTCATTTATTATTGTCGTCCATCGACAATGAAGATCAATTTTCCAATTTCGATTAATGAGTGTTCGATAAAGTAAACAATGCTTTCATTTCCCATCTTAACTCCCCCGCATTATTAATAGACATCATGTTTTCACTTTTAGATTGGATTTCGTAGCTTAACAGAATGAAATCATTAAAAGAAAAAAATTAAACATCGTTAATGTAATTGATCATTTACACTCTTAAACCAACCACAAAGTCCAAGAAATTAATGAGAAAAATTGTTGCGATTATTATGACAAGAGCATGAATCTCGCATAAATTTATGCGACAATGTTTGTCGCTATGTAACTCAAACCACTGAACAACATTTGCTGCTGACGTCAAACAAGAATAAAACTGCGAAATGTGTCGGCATATTCGAAGTAACGTTGTCGGCAGAGAGAGGGCGAGACACAAGTTGAATTACATGTTAAATGATAGCTATTAGTGTTGACGATGATTATTCTGTCCGTACTATGATTGAATGACGACGGATTTCAATGCTTTTAATGACATTCTTGTATTGATGGCGCTTGCCATTTTATAAAGAAATTATTTGTGAATTTGTGAATAAAAAAAATTGACAACGCAGCACTTTTGTAAGCCGAGACGGAAGTAAAACTTCCTGCAAAAACGTTGACTCGTCATCGAAAAACTGAGCTGAACTTTGCAATTGTATTGGTTTTCTTCTTTTTTCTTGACATGATTCATAAAAATATTAATGCAGAGATAAGTTTCTCTTATGTTTAGAATTTTGAGTATGCAAAAATTAATTTTGGACATCGCTATGGCTTGTGGATTTAATTATATAGAAAGTTTTCAGCTTATACGAATATTTTATGAATAGCTGAATGCACAGACGCTACCAAAATACTTTCATTCATATTTAAAATACATTTAAGCAATAAAGATGTTTTTTGCATCCGAGTAATAATTTTTCATCTCACATTCTTCCATAAATTCCAAATAATATTCGAATATGAAAAAAATTCAGCAGAAGCGAAATCGATTGCGCAGTAATTTTGAATCTACACAAAAAAGAAATGTGATTTCTTTCCCATCTCGTAATCGTATCAATACTTTGAGCAATCCTTTGGGAAAGAAACTTTTTTTTATTCGGAAGAATGAAAGAGATCGAACCTATTCTAAAAATATAAAAAGATTGCACCATTGAGAATCCATTTAAGTTTGGTAGGCTTCCGTTACTCGTAGATATTGAAAAGTTATCAAAACATTAAAGAAACCCTAAATATCATTCATTACTTGATTAACAAACTTTGATCGTATCAAATAAATTGAAATCTTTTCTTGTTCGTTTTTAAGCTGTTGTCGCATAACTTCAACTTTTAAAGCTCTAACATCAAATCAATGACGCTCCATTGTTACCATAACCCATTTTCATGGAAATTTCGCTCTCGCTTCTAATGGAAAATTTATTTTCATTTCATTTCATCATGTAATTGGATTTTTTTTACCCTAAAATGATCTCGTCATGAAGCGTTTATTTCAAAGAGAGAATTTTTCAAATTCCATATATTTTCATATCGTGGAAAATTCTGCTTTAACCCAGATTGTTTTCCATCGCAAAAGGTCGTTAACAAGTTGCTAGGATTAAAACTAATTAACGGTTTAGATAATTTATTTAGAATGGAATCGAAATGTTCTACATTCCTCTTAGCAAACTTTACTTCATTTGTAAATTGCGGAAATGGAAAGATTAGCGGTAATGAAAGTTGCTTCGGAAATTACGACTTGATTAATACTTTCAATCAACTGTCTCATATTCAAAACAAGAAAAAGTCTTTTTTCAATGAGAAGTACATTGACTGATAACAGGTTGGCAAAACCATAAACGACTTTAAAAAGAAAAATTAAAATGGTTATGAGCATTAAGCATACAAGAACTTCTTGCGTTATTTATGACATGCAACTTCAACTTCCAACTACTTGTTTGCTCAAATTACATCATCATTACTCATTTTGCTTTGAGCACATCAACTTCAAAACAAGTTGTGATAATAAAACTCCATTTTAAATTCATTGCCAGTCGTCTCTTGTCTCTCCATTGTAATTTGTCGTCTTAACATCAAATCACATCACATCACATGAATGATGATAAAGATTTTCTTATTCAAGAATCAGCTGAAAACTATCGTGAAATGATGCAACTTGTTTAAAAGCGGCTCCAGTTGAACGACCATGAAAAGTGTTAACTAATTTTTATCTCGAACTGACAGTGATTAGCAACGGGACGGGAAGGGGAAAACAATGTCGCGTTTACAACCAGAAAAGATTTCCAAGTAACAGATTTGCGTCATGCACGATTTGAGTTCAGTTAAGACTTGAGACAAAGAGTTGAGAAGAATTTTAAATGTCTTAGCGTACTTTTGTTGATGATTTTCAGTTTTTTTTTCTTCTATTTATTTCAAAAATTGGGTAAAAAGTGTAATGAGAGATTTAGAATTGTCGACGTGGCAAAAAAAGATTTCATTAAGCATTTCTCGCATTTCTGTTAATGGAGTTCGAGTCCGAAGCAATCACTGTTGCTCATTCAGCTGAAAGTTTTGTGTTCGCTTTGCAGCAAGTTGAAGAGCTGCCATTATCTCAGTAAATAAGCATCTGCTGAGATTTTCTGCTTGTTCTTCTTCCACAATTTATTCGTTTCCACTTTACAGTTTCAGTAATTCATCTCTCAGCAGCTTCAGTAAATCTTCTTCTTTTTATTTATCATCATTCTTCGCAATCTAATTGTTCGAAGCTAATTAAAAGCAGAGAGAAGAATTCAGTAAAAGCAGAAAATAATTAGCCACTTGTTCATGTCAAGAGAAATGTTTGGTAAGTGAAATTGCATTGAAAATATTTGTGCATAAATTTGAAGTCATTTAAGCGACATGAGTTTAATTCAGTTGATTGAAGAGTTTCTTTGATCTTTGACTATAATATGCAATCAGTTATATGATATATGTGAATATGGCCGATGGAAACTAATTGTGTCAATTAACTGAACACAATGTGGTTGTGAATCAGCATCGAATTCCGCACATTTCTTTCTATTTATTGTTCATCGTTTGCTATCTTATCAAGAATTATGTTCGCTTTTATAATTTATAAACAGAGATGAAAGAAGAAGAAGATCAAACGAAATGAAGCAAGGCGAAATGAACTCTTTTGCGTATCTGCTCATTACTGATTTTATCAAGAAACGCACGAGCGAGTCAAAAGCAAAACATTTTCATAACAATTATCATCGTCTGAATCGACATTTCATTCATTCCGTGGGTCTGTCGGTCGATTGAGGTAAAGTTTACGCACAACATCATAAAAAGTGCGCGAACGCGTTTTGACGCCTCAACAACAACATCATAATCGTAAAAGCGCCGGTATTTGAGTTAAGCATGTGGTTCGTTAACCTTGCACTTGTTTCGTTTGAAATTTGTTTTCTCATTCTCTTCGCTTCTTCTGACTTTTCATTCTCTTCATTTCGAACATTGCCTGTTGTGAATGTGATGTGATATCTCCCGGGCAAGTTTGTAACACGGCTTTTTACAAACACAACTTTAAAGACTTTTATTTCAATTCCATAGACAAAAGCGCTTTTAAATACCACAGTGGAAAACGATGAATGTAAGTAAACTGAATCGAAATTCGCTCCAAATTGTGAAGCTTGATTTCGGTTGGAAATGATGAAGTTTGTTTTGGAAGATTTTCACCGAAAAAACAGCACAAAATTTACCACAATCATCAAAATTGAGTTCGTTTTGTGCTTCATGCAAACAACAGAAATTTTTGGCAATGATTTCAGCGTCAATTTCAACGTCTCTTGGTAATCAGTAACAAAATCAAAATGAAATTTTGATGATAACGATCCTTCTTTTGTTCTTCAATAAAATTGATTTAAGATGAAATATTTTGGCTGTAATGGATGTCGAGGAAATCAATTTTATTAAGTACCAATACATTACGAAACATATCATTTTCCAAGACTCAATTCAATTATTTTCATTACGAAAATCCCAAATCCTCTGAAATCTATCGTAAATAATTATTCTCGTAAAGTATTTGTGCGTTGAAAAGCTAACGTAGCTATCGAAAGGAAAAAAGATTTTCACGCAGAAAAAACATTAATTTTCTACTAAACTTGCGTGCTGCGATAACCCAAAGACTTCCTTAGTCTCTAAAAAAAATTGATTATGTGACAAAATTCCCGTCTTTTCATGATATTGAACCGAGGTTTTGTTTGTTTCCTTTCTTTCTTCATTTTTGGGTTCGATGGTTTGCTCGAATCACTTTCACTTTTCTCCCTCATAATTCTTCTTTCGAAGGAAACGGAAAAATGAACAAGCAAAGTGGATTTGATGTAATTCTGTTATCACAACACGCAACCGGCTCAGAATTTATTTTCGTCGCTTTTCTTTTTTTTTTTTTTCTTTGCCTCTCGTCTCACATTTCGCGAGCACATACATCTAAGTAAGTAAGCAGCAGAAGGAGACGTTGGCGAATCTAATTTATTAGAAATGAATATCTACTTTCGTTCGACTGTTTGGTGTAGTGAGTGCTGCTGTGACTTTACTCGTGAAACTGAAAATGTGTCGATGATGAACATGCCGAGTGTTCGTTCGTTCGCATCAAGAACATAAATTTTATTTGCAAATTGAGACATGGCGGCGTTGAATTGAATTTAATTCGGAATAAATTTCAAAGAAAACTTCAAGAAAGTCGTGCAAGGAGTTTACTTCGATAAGTGAATAAATATATAAGTAGATGTAAAGTTAAGGAAGAAACCTTTGTTGTAATGAAATCGAAATAATTTTTTTGTCACGACTCTTCAGTGTTAGAAAATGCGGAAAAGAATTTTCGTCATTAAAAAATCTTTTCTGAGCCTCCATTCGAATCCAATCGAAAATAAATTTGTCAAATGACAAACGAGCGAGAGATATGATATCGGAGAAGTCTCAGACATACGCCATAGCTCAACGACGTCAGTGTATGAAACCAATCAATTTTAATAACGTCAAGATTTGCTTTTCTTCTCACAACCGGCAATGGCAATGAGAATAATCGAAATAATGTGCCGGGAGGCGTCGAAGTGTCACACAAAGATTTCATTTCACGATGAAAAGCTTGAAGCTGTTCCATGAGAACAGAAAAAGAGAACAAAACTTCATTTCCTGTCCATCGATTTGCTTTTGCGGTCGTTTTGCGACGTTTCTTAGACTCACAGACGACAGAATTAATTTTACTTGAAGTTTGCTTTCTTCTATTTCTTAACTATCATATGTGAAATGAGATTTCTAACTTCATTATCATATTATGCTGAAACTTATCCTAAATTATTTATGTTTTCTTGACAATTCTTAGATCAATTGAACGTTAAGCGATGCCATGATGTCAAATAGTCAGTCGACTGATTGTGTTGAATGATAAATCAAAAGCAAAAGGTCACAACAAAAGTACATCGTCACCAGAATATTAAATCCTGATTTTAATTATCATTATTAATGTTTTGTTCATTTCAATTTAAATAGCTTCACAATGGATGGTTTAATAAATAAAAAAAGACAAGAACATCTTTGTCATAAAAGAGATATTTCCTTAAATATGCAAATATACTTCAAGACTGTCTCCTTTTATTTTTCATTTAAAATCTCTCATGAAATTATTTTCCTTTCGCTTTTCAATTTTTGTTTAATTTCATTATGATAAATTACTCGCTCGTAACTTTGCTGCCTTTTGTTTCCGACTTTTTCTGCTCGTCGACTTCTTATCTTCAAAATGTTATGAACATATAAAACTTCCAACTCCTACCATACTCAGCAAAAACTAATCTTGATGAAGTCTTTTTACTAAATAAAATTCATCAGCACTCAGCAGCAGCAATTCAAATGCAAAAAAAGACACTAAAACGGGGAAAAAATATGAACATGCTTAAGAATCTTTTCCCTAATTAAAAATAATGCTTTGAAGAAAGTTGATATCGTATAAAAGGGGTAAGGATCGTTTGGTTTTTCTTTTGAAGATAATTGTAGGAAATGAAAGCAAACCGCTTCAACTACAGAAGTTTCTGTATGGTCCATGGAAATTCATTTAACTCTCAATAAACGTTCAGAATATTTTTTTAATTCATTTTCAGTTATCAGTTTTCACTCAATTTATTTTACTTTTATATTTCTTCAAAGTTTAAAGTAGATAGATTGGATTCTTTCAATTTATTCATGATTATTGTAACCTACTGCTTGCTTAAATATGCTTGAAACATCACAACAATCTTTGCTTCCGATATTCATCGACAGCATTTTCAACTGACTGCATGATTCTTATCTTTCTCTCTCTCTCTCTTGGCTTTCAGTGGCTTTCAGCTCTCAATGCTGTCAGTCAAATTTCTCTTTTCTCTTTCGGAATACTTGCACGCATATGTGTTAGTGAAAATAAAGTTTAATCATGAAACGAGCTTTTAAAAGTTTATGGTAAAATTTATTTATTCATTAAGCTTAAATTTCAGAGCCAATTTGTTGACAATTTCAATTAAATCGCGATGGTTTTCAGCAGCTCTCAATTTCCGTAAACATTGATTTTGTTTGTTGATTTCCTTGAATTTGTCAAACCTATCAACATTTTTAAAATAAAATCAGCCACAAGTCCACTAAATTTACCACATACCTGATTTTTTTCATTGGTTTTTGGTGGATTCAATGTGAAAATTGTATTGTAGGTGTGAATGTTGAGCTTTCGACGATTTGTGTAGCTTTTCCACGGTTTTTTATTGCTGACACTTCTGGCGATTCTGAAATTACTTTTTCTTAGGTCTTATGCAAACAATTTCCCAGTACGCATTCAATTTTTGTTGCTTTTCCAATCACACGAATTTTCCAAAATAAATTTGAAGATTTTTTTCTTTTCAAAAGAACCTTTTTCGGCTTCGCTACATTTACCACTCGTTCTACATTGAAGACTTCTTGAACAAGTTCAAAAGACTCAACTTCAGAGTTCTTATGCGATTTTTGATGACTTTCATCAATTTTTGTTGAAAATTCATCAATTTTCTTTTTCAAATTGCATATTCAGTAGCAATTGTACAGTATGCTTCAAAAAATCGCTTTTTTTTCGTCTGTTCATCATTTTTTTCTTCTTCTCTTTGACTTTCATAATCTTTGATTTCATTGATGAGTTTTCAAATGTTTTTAAGTCGATCACGAAAGTTGATATTAGGTGACTTTGCTTGTAAACAGTTCTGATACAACTCCAAAGATGCGATTAAGTGATCCATTTTCGAAAGAGAACTATTTAATAAGACTTTTATACGCCTTTTTTATTTTATAAGCACATTTAGGTTCTGATTCTGACCCCTTTTCAGCTGACTTTTCCTACAATTCCAAATCAAAATGTTAAGTTTAAAGAATAAAAGTTCAAAAGTATTTTCTCTTACTTGAATTAATTCGAGAAGACGGTTTGAACGATTCACCATTTTTTCATATTCTCGTTTTGTTCGTTTCTAAAAAGTTTTTGATTTCAGTTAATTCATCATTGTGGGACTATTTTTGCTTTTCCAGAATTTCATTTTTCTCTCTTTGGTCAACATCAGATTTTTCTTGCTGTCGAAATAAGGCGGCGGATGTTTCGTTTATCTGATGAAAAGTTTTTGAACAATATGACCGATAACTTCATACGCATTTGTGACGGTTGAAATCTTTGGAGTTGCAAGCACATTTGTGTTCTCATCAAAACAATGATTCTTTGAAGGTTTTCCAGCTTCATCTTGATTAAGTTTCACAGATTTTTGTTTTTTACTAGATGCTTTGAAACGAAGTTCTTCCTCCAGGGGAAAGGGACAAATGTGGTGGTTTTTCCGGAATAGAAAGCATAGAAAGAGTTGTTGCTGATTCGGTCGCTCTATAACCGCTTTGACTTAACTTCATCTTCATGATTTTCTTCAGTCTGCTTTAGTTGAATCAGAATTTTCCTTTGAAGCTGATGAAGCTAAAAATAATGGACATAGAAATGTTTGTCTATATACAAGTTATTTTGTCATTCACCTGAATTTTCTTTACTTTTCTTAGTCTCTAAAAGTTTAACCTGAAATGCGAGGGCTTCGAATCTGAAGAAAGCTTTCTAGTTTTTGTATCTTCTTTAATTTATTTAAGTTTTCGAACGCAAGATTTTAGAGTTTTCAGATGTTCAAGTCGTTTTTGTGAAAGCTTTTTTTCAGAGTTGCGTCGAAAGCTCGCTCATCACATTTTACTTCCAAATTTACTTAAAATTTAAAATTGTTAGTATCTAAGTCAAAGCAGATTTTCTGGTTTATTTTTGGGATACGATTCTAATTTCCTTTTATTCAACTTTGTAATTCTTACATTTTATTAAAATATATTTATCGATGCTTCGTTTCTTTAATTCCCATTTCAGCTGATATTGACACAGCTCGTTTACAGAAAAATTCACAAGTTTCTTTGTCGACTTAAAACTTAGTTTAATGACTGGGTACCTTTTTTATCATTTTCTTAATCACTTTTGTCGATTGTTTTTTATTTTTTTTTGTTTACGGATGATTAGAAAGGTTTACTCAGATTGTCTGAAGAATAAATTAAGAATATTTAAAATACAAGGTTGCTAGATGTACGTCATATAAAAATCAAACTAAGTTGTAAAAGCTCATTTTTATTGAATTTGATCTTAATTAAGCAGATATCAATTTGTGAACTTGAATTGAATATAGTTGAAGGGTTTTATTTTGTGACTTCCAAGTTGATTCGTATCTCAGATATTCGCTTAACAAATTTTATCCGCCACGTCATCTATTTGGAAAAAGATGTGAATTGCTTATCTTGAACAATGAATATTAAAATTTTCACAAATTTCATGTTGCTGATAATTTTTTTATTATTAAAAGTTTTTTCTTCTTAAAGAAAGAATAAATTGTTTCAAGAATATCTTTTATTTTTTACTTTGAAGACATACAAATAACTCTTAAAAGTAAAAATAAGACAAAAAATTACATTTCAACACCTTTATTCCGTAACACATGGCTCATCATGGAGAAAGACGAATTCTGTGGAGAAAAACATTTGAATTTATTTTTGATTGATCTTAATTCAAATGATTAGAATTTACCTTGGCCGGGATTTTCGCAATTGTATTTATTAAGTTCACATTTGTTGTCGAAAGTTCTGTTACCACTGGCACTTTTTCCACATATAGGATTTTTCCCAGGAAAGCATCCCATGCACCCACTAAACTTAAAGGTCTGACCACCTATTCTCATTCTCTTGGGGGGTCGAAGTGATTCGGCAAAGCACACGAATAGTAAAACTACACAAATAAAAAGGAATAAACGAATTAAATTTAAAATGATTTCTTATATTTCTTTACCAGTCAACATTAAGATGAAAATCTTCATTTTATCTGCTTTGTAGTTTTACGTCTTTATTAATTGAAAGATTATGAAAAACTGATCGTGATAAAGTCGCTCGATTCTACTAGAATGTTTAAGTTTCAATTTCACCTGATCAAATTTTCAATTCAAGGAGACTTAAGAGGTGAAAAATAAGTAATTGGATTCAAGTGTTCTCATCACGTTATTACTACGTCAAAAAGTTAACAGTATTTAACAAATAAACTAGCTCGTGGGATGTGCGAAGCTTGTTGATTGTAATTTGTTAAATTATTCCACATGAAAATTTTTGACTGCGTAAAATATACGTCATAACTAATACACTGAAATTCTCATACACTAAATGGTAAAGGGATCTGAAAACTTAGTCATATAAAAACACTAATTGCTGTAATAAATTTGATAAATTATAAATTAACGAAGAAACCACATTAACTTGAATGTGGTGCAATTTAGATGTATTAAGAATTTTAAAAGGTGAGAAAACGATATCAATAGCGCCATCTATGAGTGAGATTAAACTTCAATTGAATTTTCATATCCAACTTACCAAAAAAACTGTTGAACTCATGAATGATTATTAAAGAATTTCTTTTCATTGATTGAATAAAAACAATTCGAATAGATCTAAACTAAACTTTGTCTAAGATTTTTATTTATTTCTATAGTTTATTTCAAATTTTAAATGAAGTCAAATAATAAATAGAATAGTTTTAATAAAACACGTTGTCAGTGTGATGTAACATTTTATAAATAAAAGCATATGCCTAAATAAGATTGTTTTTAATCAGACATTTGTGTAATTTATTTGGTTCAATTGTCATTTTAAAAGCAAATCAAATTGATTTTGGTAAGTGAAAGATTAAGCATAAAATGATTTAAGTGAAATATCTTGAAATTCAACGTATCCCGACTCATCACTTAACTCATCAGAATCATCATCATGATTGGATTTTGCAACTCTTAAAACATTTCCATTTACAACTTTTGTCAAAGTTCCGTTCTTTGTGATGTAAGTTTTCTTTGATGATCCAATTTTATTACAGACTGGAAACATCACACTTCGTGAATTAAACTTAACTGGAATATTTCGAGGTGTTTGCGAGTCAGCCAATTGCTCGAAATTCCTCACACGATCTAAAACACTTCCACGACGTGGTAAGTGAACCTCTTCGGCATTCGCTGTTACAGTTGACGAAGTTTCACATCCACTTGAGATTGAAGATCCTTCATCGCTATCAACATTGACACAAATTGTCTTTTCGCTTATGCAGAGTGACGATGGAGCTTCTGATGTGAGATCATCGTCATGTTCATCATTTGCAGATTGTTTGAAAATGAAATCTTCGGGACATTGAACATTGTTCGTTCCGATACTGACAGTCGAATCATTCGTCTGATGAATGAGAGGCTGTTGGAGATCATTTTCATCGTTCGAGGGTTTTGATTGTTGTCGGAGTGTTTCAAGCATTGAATCTTGGTTGAAGTTGAAATTGCCACTAAACGATTCCACTAAAGATTCTCCATCGTCGAGTTCATTGTCTGATTGATAGTCGATTAAATCTGACATGCTCATGCTGTTCCGTTGGTTCTTTAGTGACAAGTCGTTCTCAGATAGATCAGACATGCTCATCGTAGTTGATGTGATCAACATCGAAGTGTTGGGCGTTTGCAGTTGCATGTCGAAGTACGATAAAAGGTCAGCAGAAAGCGGTTCTTTGGAATCATAATTATTGTACAACAGAAAACTTTCGAAGTCTTCATCAGATCCGCCGAGTGATTTTCTTTGTGATTCTTGATTCGGCACTGATGAAACACTCAAATCACTTTCGATCGACTTGCAGAGATTCTCGTCGTCGACAACTTCAGGCGTTTCATTTCTCGTGATCGTCGCAACATTGGAAGGCGGGAATGATTTCTGATTATTGAGAATCGAGCCACGAAGTAATCGAGACTTTCTGATCGAGTGACCACGTCTGCAACGTCGTCTTCCCAATGTCACTGACGGATACAAATAATCTTCTTTACAACATGACTTCACATCTGCCTGCTTCTTCTTCTCTTCTTGTCTCTTCACTTTCATTTCTTCGTCACAATCTTCTTCGTCTTCTTCTTCATCGATTATCTCTTCGATTGCAAAAAGTTTTGGTGCTGACTTGGATCTTTCAAGAGGTGGCCGATAATTGTTTCCACCTGTACTGAGAAGAATCTTTCGATAAGGCATCGAAGGGTTTTCATTTGCGGCATTAGCCAAACTCAGACGAGCATTTTGTTTGTTGATCTTTTCTCGTTTGAACTCGCGGAGTGCAATGGTCAAGTTTTGCTATTTTAGAAGAGAAAGTTTTATGAAATTAAATCACAAATCTAAGTTCAAGTTCATTCACTGAACTTACCTTCAATAAAGTCGCAATTTCCTGACATTGCGCATCTTTGGAACAAATCACTGCATGACATCGAAGTTCATGTTTCATTTTTCGTCCCTCATGTCGATAAATCCAACAGAAAATCTTTGGATAACTTTGAGGTGCTGAACAGAAACTGATCCGATGTGACCAGTACTCAGTCAATCCATGCTGTCTTGTCGTCGCTTTCAAACCAGATGGACAAACCTCCAGTCGCATNCAAACAGTTATATGATATATGTGAATATGGCCGATGGAAATTAATTGTGTCAATTAACTGAACACAATGTGGTTGTGAATCAGCATCGAATTCCGCACATTTCTTTCTATTTATTGTTCATCGTTTGCTATCTTATCAAGAATTATGTTCGCTTTTATAATTTATAAACAGAGATGAAAGAAGAAGAAGATCAAACGAAATGAAGCAAGGCGAAATGAACTCTTTTGCGTATCTGCTCATCACTGATTTTATCAAGAAACGCACGAGCGAGTCAAAAGCAAAACATTTTCATAACAATTATCATCGTCTGAATCGACATTTCATTCATTCCGTGGGTCTGTCGGTCGATTGAGGTAAAGTTTACGCACAACATCATAAAAAGTGCGCGAACGCGTTTTGACGCCTCAACAACAACATCATAATCGTAAAAGCGCCGGTATTTGAGTTAAGCATGTGGTTCGTTAACCTTGCACTTGTTTCGTTTGAAATTTGTTTTCTCATTCTCTTCGCTTCTTCTGACTTTTCATTCTCTACATTTCGAACATTGCCTGTTGTGAATGTGATGTGATATCTCCCGGGCAAGTTTGAAACATCGCTATTTACAAACACAACTTTAAAGACTTTTAATTTAATTCCATAGACAAAAGCGCTTTTAAATACCACGGTGGAAAACGATGAATGTAAGTAAACTGAATCGAAATTCGCTCCAAATTGTGAAGCATGATTTCGGTTGGAAATGATGAAGTTTGTTTTGCGGAATTTTCCTCTGAAAAAGCAGCATGAGATGGAAATGACGTGAATATTTTCCTTTCAACACAAATATAATTGAGTTCGATTTGCGTTTTGTGCAAACAAGAGAAAAGTGTGTTTAGCTGCTTTTGTTCACCAATAAAACTGATTGAGGATGAAATATCGTTACTTTAATGGATGATAAAGAAATGAATTTTATTAGCAATGATAATTTTAGCAAACATCTCTGTGGAGTGAGTTGAAAGTGATGCTGGAGGATTTTGATTCGATTACATTTTTCGAAAGAATCGAATTCCAAATTAATTGATAAGAAAGCTTTTTTAGCTAAAATATCTTCTCCAATTCTTGTACATGATCCAAAAAATATCAAATCTCATAGAAACCTTTTATTTAATGTTTTGGAAATGAGATAATTCAAGATGTTGTCCAAATGTAGGAGGCAACCCAAAGGATAAAATTTCTGGTAATGCATCAATGTTGGCTTCATCGAAATTTATGTTTGTTAAACTTTAAAAACTTTAATTCCATTACAATAAAATTAATGTCCGATCAAAGTTCCAGCTTTAGATTAAACTAAAGTCAAATGTCGTGACAATTAAAAGTAAAAAAACTTTCTAATGTGAATCACTTTCAACGTGGCGAAATATTTCCTCGCGAAACTTTTTTTAAACTTCTCTGACTCGTTTACATAATTTTAAGTTATAGAAAAAAAAGCTCCATAAATTTCATTCATACTTGAATATTTATTAAAAGTTAAAAGGAAGACAGAAGTTGACTTTTTACTTGAATTAAATAAGGAGAAAATAGAATTTTAACGTGCTTCTTGTAGCATTTGACAATCTAGATATCAATTTGAAGAGAATAGCACTTAAATGCTCATTAATTGTAACAACGGCTTGCTCGTTTGTTGTCTTTTGATTTATTTCACTTCAGAACATATTTCAATTTCTGTATTTCTCTTTTCGCTTATGAAAATATAGCGAAAATGTAGCGAAACTTGTCATAACCAACAGAAGTAGAATAAAGTGAGTTGGAATTTGGTTGACACACTTTTCCCTTCCATCATAGTCATTTGTGTTGTTTTTTCTCTTCCTACATTCGTGCGGTAAATAATGGATTTTTATCCTCGCCCTAGCACGCAGAGCGGATTTGTTACCAATATGAAATGAAAAAAAAAAGAAGAAAAAAAAACTCCCGACGACATTGAAAATGCAAAATTCGTTTTTATGATGTCACGGAAGTTTTACGTAATCATTGTAATTGTAAATGAAGAGTATAAAAGCATCTCAATTAAAATCCTTGTGTTCATTTAACTGCTGATTGCTGGTGTTGCACACATGCACACCAACAATGTATCTTTCGCACATATCTCATTTATTTCTTTCGTGATGTTAATATACAAACTTTGCATGTTAGCAAAGTAAATGAGAAAAAAATTGTTAGAATTTTGTCGAGTCTGATGAGCTTTGATGGTTGGAATAACCTTCAAAATTTATAATTATTTGCTCATGTGAAACATTACATAATCCATCTCATGCCTGTAGATAAATGTTGAATGTTCATGTGTATAACGAACATTCTTTGATGTTTATTGCACAATGACTTTCCCACTGACCTAATTATGGTTTACGATTGACTGCAACTGTTCCAACATTTCATATGGTTTTCCAACAAATTTTCTGACGTTGGTTTTTGCTTTTCGCGAAATCTGTTGCTTCGAATTAATTTTAATGGAAAGTTTTTATTTCAGCACGTAGTTTCACATCAATTTCACGTCAATTTCATGAATTTCAACGCTTCTGAGGTTCTCCATGTTGTCACTTGACTGCCATTTACAAATAATCCAACTTTCGAGTTTTTCTTCACAGCTAGCGGTTCGTTTGCTCGCTTGCTTGCCGTGATAGATGCTTTATTAATGTTTCACATCAGCATCCGATTTTTTTATACAATATATGTTCGAGATTCGTGATAGAGGTGGAGAAAAAAAAAGTTATTTAAGTTTGTTGATACACACGCGACAGATTTCAGCGCTTCACATGAATGGAGATACAAACATTGGCACCGGCTGTCGAATCAAATAGAAGTAGATGAGGGAGAAGGAAAAAGATTTTCATGTACAAAAAACATTTATTTTTCAATAATCTTGCGTGCTGCGAAAACCTGTCGACTTCCTAGTCTTGTGAAAAATTGATTATGTGACAAAATTTTTCCAATTCTCCAAAAGTTTTTCTTTCTTCTTTCAAGAGCTGGCTTGTGTCACTTTCATTCTCCTTTTCGAACATTATTCTTCCTTGAATCGAACGAAAAATGAACAAGCAAAGTGGATTTGATGTAATTCTGTTATCACAACACGCAACCGGCTCAGAATTTATTTTCGTCGCTTTTTTTCTTTTTTTTTCTTTGCCTCTCGTCTCACATTTCGCGAGCACATACATCTAAGTAAGTAAGCAGCAGAAGGAGACGTTGGCGAATCTAATTTATTAGAAATGAATATCTACTTTCGTTCGACTGTTTGGTGTAGTGAGTGCTGCTGTGACTTTACTCGTGAAACTGAAAATGTGTCGATGATGAACATGCCGAGTGTTCGTTCGTTCGCATCAAGAACATAAATTTTATTTGCAAATTGAGACATGGCGGCGTTGAATTGAATTTAATTCGGAATAAATTTCAAAGAAAACTTCAAGAAAGTCGTGCAAGGAGTTTACTTTGATAAGTGAATAAATATATAAGTAGATGTAAAGTTAAGGAAGAAACCTTTGTTGTAATGAAATCGAAATAATTTTTTTGTCACGACTCTTCAGTGTTAGAAAATGCGGAAAAGAATTTTCGTCATTAAAAAATCTTTTCTGAGCCTCCATTCGAATCCAATCGAAAATAAATTTGTCAAATGACAAACGAGCGAGAGATATGATATCGGAGAAGTCTCAGACATACGCCATAGCTCAACGACGTCAGTGTATGAAACCAATCAATTTTAATAACGTCAAGATTTGCTTTTCTTCTCACAACCGGCAATGGCAATGAGAATAATCGAAATAATGTGCCGGGAGGCGTCGAAGTGTCACACAAAGATTTCATTTCACGATGAAAAGCTTGAAGCTGTTCCATGAGAACAGAAAAAGAGAACAAAACTTCATTTCCTGTCCATCGATTTGCTTTTGCGGTCGTTTTGCGACGTTTCTTAGACTCACAGACGACAGAATTAATTTTACTTGAAGTTTGCTTTCTTCTATTTCTTAGCTATCATATGTGAAATGAGATTTCTACCTTCATTATCATATTAGAATGAGGCTGAAAAATCGATTGTTATGAGGGAGACTTCAATGCATTCTCGTGACTCATTAGATTTTCTTCTGGCAAAATTATCTCTTTAGCAACTTTCAAATTCAGTTTCTAAGCCACGCTACGATTTCCTATTTCTATTTTTTTTATTTTCATTCATTCATGAACATTTTTTTCTTTTTAAGTTTTCTTTGCAATATTGTGTCGAATAACTGTTATGATCGTCAGAGCCGATCTCCAGACACGCCCAAACACTCCATCATTTTCATCAAAGATTTTGCTTTCAGCTTCGTGCCGAGCTTCATTGCTTTCAGTAAATTAGAAAAGAAGAATTTTGCGAATATTTCATCAGCCTCGTGTGTGGAGCTTGATTGTTATTTTCGAGGTCGATAAACTTCTTTTTGTCTCTGCCTCGTTTAAATCTCGGAAACTTGGCATTGAGGTTTGGCTATTTAAACAACAGAAAGATTGAACACTGAAGTGNTCCATTTTAAATTCATTGCCAGTCGTCTCTTGTCTCTCCATTGTAATTTGTCGTCTTAACATCAAATCACATCACATCACATGAATGATGATAAAGATTTTCTTATTCAAGAATCAGCTGAAAACTATCGTGAAATGATGCAACTTGTTTAAAAGCGGCTCCAGTTGAACGACCATGAAAAGTGTTAACTAATTTTTATCTCGAACTGACAGTGATTAGCAACGGGACGGGAAGGGGAAAACAATGTCGCGTTTACAACCAGAAAAGATTTCCAAGTAACAGATTTGCGTCATGCACGATTTGAGTTCAGTTAAAACTTGAGACAAAGAGTTGAGAAGAATTTTAAATGTCTTAGCGTACTTTTGTTGATGATTTTCAGTTTTTTTTTCTTCTATTTATTTCAAAAATTGGGTAAAAAGTGTAATGAGAGATTTAGAATTGTCGACGTGGCAAAAAAAGATTTCATTAAGCATTTCTCGCATTTCTGTTAATGGAGTTCGAGTCCGAAGCAATCACTGTTGCTCATTCAGCTGAAAGTTTTGTGTTCGCTTTGCAGCAAGTTGAAGAGCTGCCATTATCTCAGTAAATAAGCATCTGCTGAGATTTTCTGCTTGTTCTTCTTCCACAATTTATTCGTTTCCACTTTACAGTTTCAGTAATTCATCTCTCAGCAGCTTCAGTAAATCTTCTTCTTTTTATTTATCATCATTCTTCGCAATCTAATTGTTCGAAGCTAATTAAAAGCAGAGAGAAGAATTCAGTAAAAGCAGAAAATAATTAGCCACTTGTTCATGTCAAGAGAAATGTTTGGTAAGTGAAATTGCATTGAAAATATTTGTGCATAAATTTGAAGTCATTTAAGCGACATGAGTTTAATTCAGTTGATTGAAGAGTTTCTTTGATCTTTGACTATAATATGCAAACAGTTATATGATATATGTGAATATGACCGATGGAAACTAATTGTGTTAATTAACTGAACACAAATCATGTCTAACATTCTTACTTAGGCCTTCACTTTTCAAAGTCTGCCATCAGGATTTTTGACCACACTGTTATTAATGTTGAGGAGCTCGCGGGGGTGGAACTGGAGGATCCTCTCCTTGTTAGGAGGAGAACGAGTGTCCGGTCCACCTTCTCCGATCTCTTCGGCGGACAGTGAGATCAGGGAGACGGCTGGTGGGGGGTCTCATCTTCAGAGAATTTCNCAACCACACTGTCATCAATGCCGAGGGGCTCGCGGAGGTGGACCCGGAGGATCTCCTCCTCTTCATGAGGAGAACGGGTATCCGGTCCACCTTCTTCGACTTCCTCAGCTGACGGTGAGATCAGGGAGATGGCTGGTGAGGGTTCTCACTTTCAGAGAAGCTCTTTTCTCTGAAGGTTTGTAGAATAAATTCCCAAAAATCCTCCTTCTTCCTGATTTTCGGTTGAAAGATCTCGAGCAGACAAATCATGTCTAACATTCTTACTTAGGCCTTCACTTTTCAAAGTCTGCCATCAGGATTTTTGACCACACTGTTATTAATGTTGAGGAGCTCGCGGGGGTGGAACTGGAGGATCCTCTCCTTGTTAGGAGGAGAACGAGTGTCCGGTCCACCTTCTCCGATCTCTTCGGCGGACAGTGAGATCAGGGAGACGGCTGGTGGGGGTTCTCATCTTCAGAGAATTTCATCTCTGAAGGTTTGTAGAATAAATCCTAAATCACCCCCATCTCCCTGTATTAGCGGTCAAACTGGTCCTTTTGAGCAGATTTTACAAGTACATTTCACTTATTATGCAAAATCTAAGGCAGCTTCTAAAAATTTCCCTTATTTAACATCAATCATCAAACGACGAGATATAGGGAGCGAAACAAGAAGGGGTGTATAATCCTATATTCTTAATCGCTTTAGTGCACTGGTTAGTGCACTCCCTACTCTGATGATGATGAACTGAACACAATGTGGTTGTGAATCAGCATCGAATTCCGCACATTTCTTTCTATTTATTGTTCATCGTTTGCTATCTTATCAAGAATTATGTTCGCTTTTATAATTTATAAACAGAGATGAAAGAAGAAGAAGATCAAACGAAATGAAGCAAGGCGAAATGAACTCTTTTGCGTATCTGCTCATCACTGATTTTATCAAGAAACGCACGAGCGAGTCAAAAGCAAAACATTTTCATAACAATTATCATCGTCTGAATCGACATTTCATTCATTCCGTGGGTCTGTCGGTCGATTGAGGTAAAGTTTACGCACAACATCATAAAAAGTGCGCGAACGCGTTTTGACGCCTCAACAACAACATCATAATCGTAAAAGCGCCGGTATTTGAGTTAAGCATGTGGTTCGTTAACCTTGCACTTGTTTCGTTTGAAATTTGTTTTCTCATTCTCTTCGCTTCTTCTGACTTTTCATTCTCTACATTTCGAACATTGCCTGTTGTGAATGTGATGTGATATCTCCCGGGCAAGTTTGTAACACGGCTTTTTACAAACACAACTTTAAAGACTTTTATTTCAATTCCATAGACAAAAGCGCTTTTAAATACCACGGTGGAAAACGATGAATGTAAGTAAACTGAATCGAAATTCGCTCCAAATTGTGAAGCTTGATTTCGGTTGGAAATGATGAAGTTTGTTTTGGAAGATTTTCACCGAAAAAACAGCACAAAATTTACCACAATCATCAAAATTGAGTTCGTTTTGTGCTTCATGCAAACAACAGAAATTTTTGGCAATGATTTCAGCGTAAATTTCAACGTCTCTTGGTAATCAGTAACAAAATCAAAATGAAATTTTGATGATAACGATCCTTCTTTTGTTCTTCAATAAAATTGATTTAAGATGAAATATTTTGGCTGTAATGGATGTCGAGGAAATCAATTTTATTAAGTACCAATGAATGGTCAACAATACATTACGAAACATATCATTTTCCAAGACTCAATTCAATTATTTTCATTACGAAAATCCCAAATCCTCTGAAATCTATCGTAAATAATTATTCTCGTAAAGTATTTGTGCGTTGAAAAGCTAACGTAGCTATCGAAAGGAAAAGAGATTTTCACGCAGAAAAAACATTAATTTTCTACTAAACTTGCGTGCTGCGATAACCCAAAGACTTCCTTAGTCTCTAAAAAAAATTGATTATGTGACAAAATTCCCGTCTTTTCATGATATTGAACCGAGGTTTTGTTTGTTTCCTTTCTTTCTTCATTTTTGGGTTCGATGGTTTGCTCGAATCACTTTCACTTTTCTCCCTCATAATTCTTCTTTCGAAGGAAACGGAAAAATGAACAAGCAAAGTGGATTTGATGTAATTCTGTTATCACAACACGCAACCGGCTCAGAATTTATTTTCGTCGCTTTTCTTTCTTTTTTTTTTCTTTGCCTCTCGTCTCACATTTCGCGAGCACATACATCTAAGTAAGTAAGCAGCAGAAGGAGACGTTGGCGAATCTAATTTATTAGAAATGAATATCTACTTTCGTTCGACTGTTTGGTGTAGTGAGTGCTGCTGTGACTTTACTCGTGAAACTGAAAATGTGTCGATGATGAACATGCCGAGTGTTCGTTCGTTCGCATCAAGAACATAAATTTTATTTGCAAATTGAGACATGGCGGCGTTGAATTGAATTTAATTCGGAATAAATTTCAAAGAAAACTTCAAGAAAGTCGTGCAAGGAGTTTACTTCGATAAGTGAATAAATATATAAGTAGATGTAAAGTTAAGGAAGAAACCTTTGTTGTAATGAAATCGAAATAATTTTTTTGTCACGACTCTTCAGTGTTAGAAAATGCGGAAAAGAATTTTCGTCATTAAAAAATCTTTTCTGAGCCTCCATTCGAATCCAATCGAAAATAAATTTGTCAAATGACAAACGAGCGAGAGATATGATATCGGAGAAGTCTCAGACATACGCCATAGCTCAACGACGTCAGTGTATGAAACCAATCAATTTTAATAACGTCAAGATTTGCTTTTCTTCTCACAACCGGCAATGGCAATGAGAATAATCGAAATAATGTGCCGGGAGGCGTCGAAGTGTCACACAAAACGATGAAAAGCTTGAAGCTGTTCCATGAGAACAGAAAAAGAGAACAAAACTTCATTTCCTGTCCATCGATTTGCTTTTGCGGTCGTTTTGCGACGTTTCTTAGACTCACAGACGACAGAATTAATTTTACTTGAAGTTTGCTTTCTTCTATTTCTTAGCTATCATATGTGAAATGAGATTTCTACCTTCATTATCATATTAGAATGAGGCTGAAAAATCGATTGTTATGAGGGAGACTTCAATGCATTCTCGTGACTCATTAGATTTTCTTCTGGCAAAATTATCTCTTTAGCAACTTTCAAATTCAGTTTCTAAGCCACGCTACGATTTCCTATTTCTATTTTTTTTATTTTCATTCATTCATGAACATTTTTTTCTCTTTTAGTTTTCTTTGCAATATTGTGTCGAATAACTGTTATGATCGTCAGAGCCGATCTCCAGACACGCCCAAACACTCCATCATTTTCATCAAAGATTTTGCTTTCAGCTTCGTGCCGAGCTTCATTGCTTTCAGTAAATTAGAAAAGAAGAATTTTGCGAATATTTCATCAGCCTCGTGTGTGGAGCTTGATTGTTATTTTCGAGGTCGATAAACTTCTTTTTGTCTCTGCCTCGTTTAAATCTCGGAAACTTGGCATTGAGGTTTGGCTATTTAAACAACAGAAAGATTGAACACTGAAGTGTTAATTTTTTAACTGACGAAATAGTCAAAGTTGAGCATTATATAAAGAAAAATAAGAAACTAAAAAAAACTTTTTTCCAGAAATCAATTACAAAGCTACGACAATTAAATAAATAAAATGAGATAATAATTTTTCTCTTCTATTTTCCCCAGGGGGAAATTTTGCGCTGATAAGAAACAGCAAATGCTATTTTTTCTAATTAACGAAAGCATCCCTTCTGACGTCGCTCGACGATGCCATCACTTCCACGCAAGCTTTGTTTTAATGTCTCGGAACAGCGGCAATAAATTAAAAAGCAAGTCTTACGAGAAACTTAATTAGAATGAACATGCTTGGAATGCGCGAAAAAGCAATGAATCCCGTGATAAAAAGTAAATTTCAAGCATCTTGCTTTCTCTTTTCATTAGAGTCAATAAAAAAAGCTGACTGATGATTCACAGTCAACCACAAAAAAAATAAATAAAAAGAATATTTTTTAAATCTATGTTTGTGTGTCATGTGATTTCAGAAAAATGATGAACATTGTCAATAAATTTCCCACACTTTTCACTTCTTTTCTGTCTGTTGAGCTTAACATTGCCGTTATGCAATGCACTTCAACGTGAAATGAACAGAGAAAAAACCAAAGCAGGAAATTATTAATAAATTGAATTCAATTTTCATGATGTTGTTGGTGATGTCGAGACAGAAGAGTGAGAAATTTTTCGTTTGTTTGATGATTCTTTTCATCGCCTTCTCTCAATGAAAACTTTTTTTTTATTATGTTATTTAATATGAAAAGCCAAGAAGAAAACAGAGGAAGAAGAAGGGAGGAAAAAGAATTTTCATCACAAAAGAAAAGCTTTATGTTTCGTGATTTTTCTTCTTTTTTGCATTAAAAATCCGTTCGCTGGCTCATGAAATCATTTCGTTATTCAATTTTCGTTTAATTTCATTATGATAAATTATTCTCTCATACTTTTGCTGCCTTTTGTTTCCGGCTTATTCTTCTCGTCTATAAATTTTTGTAAGTTCAAAACTTCCACTCCATTGCTGATTACTCAACAGAAAAATAAAATAAAATAAAATAAAACTATCAGCAGCATGAGTGCAAAAACATGAAAAAAAAATTAATTTGATGTACTTCGAAGCTTTGAAAAAGTTGAAATTATTTTAATAGGAGCTCATTAAAAATAATTTCATTTCAAACGAAATCTCGTGTAAAAGGTCAGACATGTTTGCTTGTTTTGGAGCAAGTCAATGAAGCGAGGAACAAAATAACAAAACAAAACAAGTAAGAAAAAAGAGAAAAAAAATTACCTAAGAAATTCAACAGTGAAGTTCTTTGATGAATTCAGTGGAAAAAAGCAGTTAATTTTCCACTAGATGATTGAGTGATTTTGATTAATTTTTTTTTCTCAGCGTATTTTCCACGCACGTTTCACTTCTGTTGGCTCACACTTTTTGAGGAAAACTTCTTTTCCGACTTTGAATTGATTTAGAAAGTCATGCGAGAAACTTTAAGGGGGTTGAGGTTGGCAAACTTTGTTTAATATAGCGGGTTCTGCTACTGCTTTTTTAATTAATTTATCCAATCTTAAGTTCGCTTACACAAAGCCGATACCAAATTATTAAGAATTCGTTGTTGGTTTGTTTGCAAAAGAATCGCAAAAATTAAATAAAACTTTTTCTTTCATATGCCTCTATGCCTTCATTAATTAATTAAATTTGCTTTTCTTTATTTATTTATGTGATATTGTTAGTCGACTGTATTGGTTTAATTCACTTCACAAATTTTTACTACGCTCACTTCACTAACACACTCGTATTGACAAAAATATTTTTCACAGTTTTTTCATTCGCATAGGAATTTTTAGCAGCTTTTGCTTTTTTCCTCTTTTTTCGCAATTTAATTAAAATCACAACTTAAGCTGATGATGAAATATTTTATATCTATTCAATGTAACGGAACAAGTACACGATACACGATCTAAAACTGTGATTACGTTGACTGCCACGATTTGATTTTTTTTTCTCGCTAATTATCCGACAAAATATTTTATTCTACTCGCACAATTGTTTTTTTCCTCGGAATCTTTTTTTCCCGATAATGATAGTGACTAAAAAATGTATGATAAGAGTGGATGAATGGATGGTAGAAATATTACTTGCGAGACTGAATCTGTTTTTTGTTCCGATATCAAACCGAAAGTATTTTCAACTGAAGTGAATTTTCTTTCGAAGCTTCGTCTACGGATTTTTTTCTCTCACGATTCTCTCATGAATGCTGTCGGTCGTGTATGGCGAGGGGTAAATCATTGAAAGAAAAATAAAAGCATTGTAGTGGGTTATTTTCTAAGACACTTCGTTTCCGACTCCAGAAGTTCTTCTTGAATTTCTTTGTTTGTAGGAGAACTGTGCATTGTTAACCCCTCGTTGCTTGAGTTCGTATTGCTTTCTCTCGCAAATTCTAATGAAGAGCATACAAATCTTGGTTCGAACTGAAAAGCCTTGGTGAAAAGTCAAGGGGTAATTCATCGTAGTGCTTTTGCCGGCTATCTCTAAATGTTGCATCGAAAAGCATTAGTGCTTTTCCAAAACAATTGTCATTTTCCAAGAATTTGCTTAGTTTCTCATGAAGTTTGATTAGTTTTTATTGTTAAGTGCTTTTTTCTTCATTATACTTTAGCTGACCATTTTCTTTCGATGAATTACCCCGCGTAGAAAGCTTTGAATGGTTGTGATTCTCTCATGAAATTACACGAGAGAGCAAGACAAGAGAGAAGAAATAATGAGAGAGACAAGATATTAGTAAGGAATTTATTTTCCAAATCAAACGATGATATGCTTTGTTGCCGTCCCAAAATTAAGTTTTAATGAAGTTCGTGAGCAGCCCTAAAATCAAATTAAGGCATTCAAAGTCTTATCATCATCATTTCTTAATGTAATCAACAACAAAATGCTTTAAAATTGAAGACAATTCCATGATAATGACCTCATTTCGCTTGATTGAAAATCAATTTGATTCCGACACTTATTCGACAGGGAAAGATTATTTGGCAATATCTTGAGACTTTTCATCTTCAATATATAAACTTGTTGCGAGCTTTGAAGCAATCCCTAAATAAAGAATTTTTTGCCTAAGCTTCCTCAATAAAATTGCAGAGATAAATCGCACGAAATGTCGGGAACAATTTGTTTTTAAAATACTTCATAAATTAAATTCTCGAATTGATTTATTTTCTTTAATAAAATAACTTCTAGCATAATTTATGATCTTTTGTTTAAAAAATGACTGTTAACGCCATTTATCTCACTTTCTGTCTTCTGAATGAACCATTGATAGCTGAAATTACTCTCCAAACTCAAATATTTGCTGTTGTCAACCATGAAATTTAGTTGAACAGTTCGTCGATGTTCAAACATAGCTATAAGCAAAAAAAAAACTCCAGTATATATTTCTCTGAATTCTCATTTCATTTGTTTTTCATGGTAAAGATATTCAATTTATATTTAAGTTATTTTTTTTTTAAATTCTTCACTGCTTTGCGATTCAAGTCAAACGATGGAAGAAGGAAGATGCGGCGATGGAAATTCTTTTGTTGACACATTTCTCATTTCTGTCCCCATTTTGAAGTGCGTGACTTATAAGCGCAATATCTTAGCTGCCAGCTACACGAGCAGAAAAAAGAATAGAAAAGCTCAGAATATAGAGAAAAATAGTTCTTTTTTTAAGCGCACTATGAGATGACAGAACGAGAAAATAAGAAATGAACAATAGGAGAAATGTGTCCCGTAATGGATTCCTTTGCTTTGGACGTTCGTCTCATGAATAGAAATTGAAAAATTCTTTTTGTCATCTGCCACGGAACGGAAAAGTCATTAAAACTTAATTCATGTTAAAGTTCTGTTCGTGATATTAAAGATAAACTACAGTACATCATCATAAATAAATCTACAGTACATCTCATTGATAGATCGTTAAACTGTTTTGCGACAAATACAAAATATAAGCAAAACCAGAAAGCAGAAGAAGCCGTTAAGCAACATTCCACTGGAACATGTTGGAGACGTTACGAAGTTAGAGATAAAAGCAGACAAAACAAGAAAGTTCAAATAGACAAACAGAGAGTTTTTCAGGCACTTGATGTTGCTTAAATCAAGTATCATAAAAAACGTCTTTCCTGCTTTTATTTTCGATTTAAGCTTGCATTAAATACCATGACGATGACTCAGATGTTATAATACGATGCCTTCAACCCCTGAATATTGAATGAAAAAGGAAAAAAATTAAATGTTCCACGCTTCTTTCATTATTTACTCAAAGAAATTCGTATTTGCTAGTCATGAGTTTTATTTTTTTTTTCACTCTTTGCTACGCATGAAAATATCCGCAAATATAAAGAATAAAGAAAGAAAATTCATAATTAAGTCGTGTGCTTGATTCTCTTCTTCTATATGATATCAAACAAAACTTTGCTGAAGCAATGTTAAGCAAGAATATGTGATGGGAAAATTAATGAATTTCTGATGTAATTAAGTGCCACTCGAGCTCCATAAATCAAATAGCGATACAAGGGATGAAAGAATAAACTAACGAACGAGTGGATGATAAACAAAATGCTTAAACAGAGGCTTTCTGTTGCATGGAATATAAAAGGACGTATAAGAACATTCGACTCTAATCCAGGTTAATTAAAATTGTTCACAACAATGTTGATTGACTTTCGAGGAAGTTAAATTTAATTAAGTTTTGCCTTTCGAAAGCAACAGTCGTATGTTTGACCTCTGTCGTGCTAATCTGCCTAAAAAGCAAAACAAGATGAGTTAAATAATTTTTTATGCTTCTGGTATATTTAATAACTCTAATTAAAGTTTCATACTAAGGTGAAAGGTGGAAAAGTTTTTAATTAAACATCAAAGGCATTAAAAACCTTCTCATACACACACACACACAAATTAAAATCTTTCAACAGAGTGCAGAATTTATATGACATCATAATTTAGAATCTCATTAGAAAATTTCTCCCAGTTTGTCATTCATCTCATTCCTTGAATTACTTTTTTATTTCTACAACATCAGCAGGAGCTAAAAAAAGTGAATTAAACAAGAAAGTACACGGAAACATTTGTGACTTTTCCCAAAGCTTTCATTTCTCTCCTTTTTTCTGCTTGAGTCAGAAGAAATGTTTTTCACACAATCATCGCTTTTTAATTAGTTTTTGTCGTCCAAATAAGTAAAACAAGCAACAGTGGAAACAACACACCGAGTTTCTTTATGAAGAATTCCCTTATTGTTGTGTTGCCGAGCTGAGAAAGAAAATTATTAATTAAAATTCCCTTCCTTCCTAAAGAAGAACCTAAACTTTGACTACTGTTGGCATTGAAGACATTAAATGACTTTTCAATGCTATTTCTCATGCGATAACAAAGAAATGTTTATTCAAGTTCGCTAATCGTGTCGAATTATGAATTTAATGCAGTGACACGTTCAAAGGATTTTCGATTCTTAACTTCAAATCTCTTTTTATTATCAACTTCGATACGATTTAAAAAACGGAATCGAGAACAAAAGAGAACAGCAGCATAAAGAAATCAAACAACAAATTCCGAAATGTTTCTTTCATGAGAATTAATTTCATATAACCAAGTAATGCATAATGAATGTCACGTAGCACGTTTGAAAATGCGAGAATCGGTTCAAAATGAGATAAAAAGAAAACGAGACGAGAAGGTGTGAACAGCACTTTGAATCATTATGAGTCGATTTGTAACTTTGTAAGAAGAAATAAATGCGCCCATATTTGCATAATTTATGTTACTTGCATGCATAGAAAATACAAAAGAGAAACATAAAAGTTGAAAACTTGAAAGCGAGATATCTAGTGAGAATCTTGATTGTTTAGTCGCCAATTACAGGAAACAGTTATGATGCAAATTTAATGCTGGTATGATAAATGATTGATTGGGAGTAATGATTGTCAAAGGAAATGCTATTTGAATTGAACAATCACACTCATGCCTGCATCAGGATGATGTGATTGAGAAGCAGTAATTGAAATTAATTAAGTATATTGTGTGAGACTTGACATAACGATTAAAGATTAGTTAGTGCATTCAATTACATACATCATTGTTGCAACGTTTTAACACATAAGAGATCTCAATTAAATGACACGATACTTCCCAAAACTTTTCTTTTTTCTGTTTTGTTCTTCTCCTTAATCTTATTACAACATTATATTGTTGAATTTTCTTCACGTCTACAGTTCTTGCTTTGTTCTTTCTTACAATGGAATCATCAGCATGTGAGTGAGTGAGTGACGAAAATGAATTGTCACAAAAGAACTCAAATTGAGTCACATATGGAAAGAAACATGCTTGAAAAAAAGGAAATGAAAGTTTTTCTATCGTCTTCTTAATGCAATAAGAAATGATATTAGGATCGTGATCAATGACAACATTTTTTGCCTCCAGACACAAAAATCTTTTCACATAATCTTTTTTGTATTATGTTGAGGAAAAGTTATTTAGGAAAAGTGATGGAAATGCAAATTTTCTTTCAGACTTAAAACATATTTTTGAGAAGAGGGAAGTTTCAGGGATGATACCTTGACCATAAGAAGGGAAAAAATGTTAAATTTTCATGTAATGAGCATCGATCATGAAAAGCTCGTAAAGCACCTGCTGTCGAAGGAAAGTCGTCTTGAAAAACCGACAGACGGTGGATGAAAACTTTATAGAAGAAAAGAACATGGTTCAGTTTCATGAAGTTTGCTTAAACTTTTGCCGTTTAGAAAATATATTTACAACAGAGATGCAACTCTCGGTTAACATATTGCGGGACCATAACTTATAAATTTATTCTGCTGTCATCCTTTCTACTAAGACTTTCAAAAAATCTTTTCCAAAGGCGGGTAGATTTCCGAGAGACAAGATATTTTATGAAGAAGGAAGAAAAAAACTTTCTGTCAATTTGATTTGGGACGAAGACATTTTTTTTCTCTTCATTCAATGTAGGTGGTCGAAGATTTTATTGGTAAAATTTGAAATCCTGAAAAGCAGAAAATTTCATTAGGGAATTGCGTTACTTAAGGAAACTTTTTTCCAAATCATTTACGAAACAGTTTAATCATTACAGAAAAGTTTGTCACTCAAATGTCGTTGTCATTTTACTCATTTGCAGCTAACAACACATCGTTAATCTTCATGACATGTTTGCATGAGTTGAACTATTTCACTTGCATTATAAGCGTCACAAATTTTTTTTATGGAAACTTCTTCTATCTGCACTCCCACACTTTCCCGCACTAGGAAATGATGTAAATTTTTGATGATGGCGCAAATTAATTTCCCCCAGTAAATTTCGAGTTGCCGCCACTATGTAAAGCACTGAACAAATGACAACAATTCTTGTTTTATTTACAAAACTAACGAAAGCACAAATCGCTGTTCGTGCTGAATGATTAATAATGAACCACAATTTATCACTAATCACCAAACATATTCCCAACATTTGTTGTTTGTGTTTTGGAACATACTCGACATCAGAGTTTGAGTTTCCTTAGGATTTCTCAGAAAATGTTCAGTTTGATCTCGACGGTGTTTTTTTAACAAAACAAATTTCGTCTTCCCATCGCTCAAAAGAACAACTCAAGCCTTGGAGGAAGAAAAGGTTTTGAAGTTTTGTTATTTTTATCTTTCCTTCATACTGAATAACACTCATACGATTCTTCACCACTTGCATTGAAAGAAATGAAAATATTCACGTATGAAAAAAATGAAAAACGCTTTTCCGTGTCAAGGAAAATTGCTTTCAGAAGGCATCGAATGGAAACTTGAACGAGAAAGGAAAGAAAACTTTTTATTTATGAATATTTCACGACTGCTTGAGCATAACACAACTTGTTCTTTTCCGCCACTTTGCTTTATCATTTTCACATAACAAGGGCGTTTTAAGGGGAAAAGGAAAGAAGATTGGATTACATTCATTCAGGGAGGGAAAATTTCCACAACTTGAGCCTCGCTCCCAAAAAGTTATTGTAAAGGTCTCTTAGTAAAGTTAAACGACATACAAGCAAACAAGATGACGTTAATGAAGAAGTAGAAAACTTTCCTACACACCAGCAGTGGTTTCCACATAACTATCTGTGTTGCTCAACTTTCAGAATAAGATAAACGTGCATGTGAGAGGCTATCTTGCGAAGGAATAACTTTAAGATATTGAAGAAAAAGAAAAACTTCCATAAGTAGCATCTTCAAGTCTTGAAAAGATTTATCATGAAAAATTCACATAATTTCTAATTAAAAAAGTTTTTGGCCACATCGTAGTCGCATCTAGATCTCGTAAACTTTAGGAAACGAGCTTTGTTTTACGATAGTTTTTAGTGGCAAAGCAATATAAGCATCGACAGCTCACATATGCACCATGAAAATCAATTTACGAGCCAACAAAAACTAAAGAGAAACCGAAACTTTTTGGAAAACTATTTTTTATAGGAAAGAATAAGATTCAAGGCGACGACCAACGTTTGTTCTTCAACAATTCATTCGTGTTTGTCGGATAAAACCCTTAGCGTTTGATGACTTAATAAATTTTCTAGTGAAGTTCTTAAATGCTCAATGATTTCGAGCGGATGTGATGCAATTGAAGAATCAACTAATAAACGAATAAGACGATTTTACGAGTTTTTCATTGCTTGTTTGCTAGTCTGCTTAGTTAATTAAGAAGAACTAGATAATTCTTGGGTAATGAACGTAAAAAAATTGATGCTGCCAATTGGAATCTGAAGATAAAATGTGTTGAAATAAGAAACGAATTGTCGGAGTTAGTTTTATATTTACACAGCTTTTGGTTTTTAACAACTTTACTCATACATTGCATATGAATGTTCAGCAGCAACAAAGAAAAGCTTACAAACTTTTCTAACGAGTTTTTACACCTTAAATCAATTGAAGACATTTTTCCAATTACAACTTCTTGAAGTATTTTTCATTCCATGTCAAATCAAAGACAACACAACAAACATTTCCTTTCTCGACATCCTTCGCAAAACTCCCTTCTACCGCCTTCGATTGCGAAATGTGTCAAATCGATTTTTTTTTGTGTGACATATTAAGGCAGGAGCGATCGAACATTGATTTAAAGGAAAATAGAAAAGAAAATTCCTCCTCGGATACTCAATTTCTCTTTAATTATTTTATCAGACTTTCAGATTTTGCTATCTTTGCCTTACTTGTTTTCCAGTGATAAGTGGCAAATATTTGGAATGTTGAAGGTCCTATATATGATGCGTAACATATTTGAGCGACGAACAGAAATGGGATTTAATGTTTTCTACCTTTGCCATACCTTAACTTGTCACAAATATTTTCTTTTCTGTATTCAATTCGCATCTACCCCTAGGAATGTTCACATCCCACGTCGTAATTCCTTATTAGATCCATTTAGGATACATTTTACGATTCACAAAACAATTCTCGTCTCATATGCGTCCGTCATAGCAAAGGAAACATTGCTATAAATGACACGACGAACTATCAAACTTTATGAAAGTTGAATTGAAATCCAAACCAAGTCGTCTATTTTGAGGCAAGGAATAAAAAAAAGAAATCAATGTTAAAGGAAACTCAATTTCGATATCACAAAGAATTTAAATTGACACGTGATTAGATTTGCTCCAAGTCACATCATGAATTTTGCACGATTTAGCGGGCATGAAAAGATTTTGAAAGTTTGGCAACATTGTAAATAATTTGATTCAGACTGAGAGCGGATCATTGTTACGTGGGGAGAGGAAAGTGTGTGGAAATGAAGCAGCAAAGGCATGTTTGGGAGGAAAATGTTGTTCATTGATGCTAAAGCATACCCACGCGTTTTTGCTACCCTCGTTTCAAACCTCCCACGCACCAAAATGCTGCTTTGGGGAGAAAATCGATAAACTCTCATTTGGATTTAATATTGAGTAAAACTGCGATGAAAGGAGGGTTGACTTAAAAAAGAAACGTTTTAAGCTCTCTAGGATGTTGACTCACGACTAACGACAACCATAACTTTGGTAAATGTTTCTTTTTGTTTCTTCTACGTACCATCATTTTCGGATATTGAAAGTGCTGATCCACTAATGCGACCATAATTCAACGCTCTACCTTGTATCTGATCTGATCAATTCTTCAGAGATTTGATGAAAATCTTCTTTGCTTGTTTATTTTACTCGTTCAAAGTTTATCACGAAAAGTCTTGTTTATCAATGATTACTTATCATAACCGATGATGTGTCGTTATTCCATTACATACACTTCATACACGTTATTAATTTTTCAAGCAAAATTTATTTAATCTCATCAATCTTCACTATAATTAATTACCACAAAAAAACTTACACAACAATATTTTTTCCTTAAATGAAACTTTTTATCCGAGAACAAACGTTTTACGGCAACTTCTCGCGAAATGAGAATTAAAATTCATCGACAAGAATATATTTTTAAGGGGGATTTACTTTTTGTTTGATATGTTTTGCATTTCGTTAGTCGTGAGAAAATCATTCGGCACTCCTTAAACATTTTACTATTGACGCTCAGCCGGAGAATTTGTTGTGAATGTTGAGAGAATGAATCATTAATCGTTTAATAGCAATTTAAAAGATATTTATGGGTAAATTTTCTCAACATAAGTAACCTACATCTACAATGTTTTATAATTGATAATGTAAAATTATTTCAAAGTTGAGTAAATACATTTAACAGCAATGATTGTAGGAAAATCTTTTTCTTTTCTATTTTCTCTCTCTTGGTGCATGCGTAAAAAGTATTTGAATTACCGAATGAGTTTTCATACGTTCAATTGTCGTCACACCGATAAATGAGTCTCACCCTAAAGCATACAAATCCAGACACATTATTTTCTTCTGCTGTGCACAGTTAACAAAACGGAGAGCCAGACAATGTCTGAGTCAAGTCTGAATTCTCTCTTTTTCTCTGCACCACACACACACACACTATCAAATGTTTAAATGCCGGCATGAACGGTGAACCACCAGCAACTAACTACTTGGAAACTTTAGACTCGACGTTAATAATTGAATGACTTCTATCTCAATTGTGCTTAAAACGAAGATTTCTCTTTACACGCTTGATTGCTTTAGTAACGCTTCTTAAAATGTATATTTTTAATAAATATTTGTTCATGGAAATATTTGAATATTTTATGATCTGTTTTAAGGAATAAATTATTAGTTAATTATATCTACTCGATTATTTATCTTCCGCTCAATTTTAAATCATTTTCCACAGAAGCCACATTGGGATTATTGCAATGATATGATTGGATTTTTCCGATGATTCATTTCATGATTTGGGTTTTTGGGTTTGTTGGTTTATGGTCAAAATCCTTTATGAGTTGTGCATTTACATGACGTCAAGAGAAATCAACAAACCTCAAATGACATCATGAATATATTTTGTTTTTCTTGTTATTCTTTTTTATTTTTAATGATTCACTTTTCTTGAGAATTTTATTTGAAGGGGAAAATTACGATTATTTTTCAAGCGTTGATAGATTTGTAGTTTGAAATTTCGAATTCATTTGACTGTGAAAAGAAAATAATCAATAAATTAATGCTTACAAAGCTACGAGTTTTTTGTTTGAAAATAAAATTTATTTCAATTTCAATTTATAGAAAATTTTATTTGAGTACGAAAAATTTGGTTTTTGTAAATAATCTCATAATTTTTACCTAAACAAACAAAAAGAAATGAAATTATGGCCGTCCATGTTTTTGAAATCCTAAAAATTGAGTCGCCAATATGAGAATGGATGGAAATAGGAAAACGTCTGTATTGGAAAGCACGAAAATTGCTGAAAGCGAAGTGAAAGGGGATGACGCAATATTTACAGTGAATGGGGAGATGGAAAGTGTCAGTCTTTATTGTTTTATTTAATGTAGGTTAAAGTAATCACTCACTTAAGTGTCGTTTCATATCCTTTTCGGTCACGAAAAACATCGAGCAATATTTTTCTTCAAACCTGCACAAAAATCCACTTTCGAAGCGCTGTTGTTGATGGGGAAATTTATTGATTTTCTGCGCTTTTTTCATTATTGTTTTTGCTTTCTGCACTTGCTCCAACTAAAGCTCCTACTATTTGCGGTTGTAACAACATTAAATTCTTAAACCAATTTTCGTCGCGTAACGCTATATTTCGAATTCATAATAAATCCATTGAAGTTTAGTTTTATGAACCACAGAGTAGCTACTAGCTACATACAATCCCTGCCTTCTGCTCGACATGATATTATTTTTTCAAGTAGAAATAGGAATTAGGCCAAGGGGCTGAAAAGGGTTTAACTGAGGGTAATTATTCGATCGAAAGAAAAAAAATGTCAATTACGAGAACAAAATGAGTAATATTGAAATCCATTAGAATCATAAATAGAAGACGTTGATCGTCAATTGCTATGATTATTCTGATTTAATAATTCTTATTGATTCCGGCACGCTAACCAGCAGAAATAATCGTTTAAGCCTTCTAACAATCAATCAATTTATCCTTTTTAAAACTTCCGTCGATGTTTAATAATAGCTTTCATCACCACCATCTTCGTTAAAAATATTGGTGATAATAATGACATAATTAATTTTTCAACTTTTCCCTACAACAAGCGAAACTAATTATCGTATCTTAATTAATGCTCTGAGCAATTGCTTTCATCCATATTGATTCAAAAACCAATCGATCAATATATTTTTGTCATTAACTCTTTCTTAAGGCCATTAATTCTTGCATTTTGTAGCCTTGTGAAAACATATTTTTATTTTATTTTCTGGCTACCATTATCGAATAATAAAGGCACACAAAATAACAAATTAACGATACGAATCTCTGTAACATCCGATGAAGTATTTATTTGCGTTGAAAGTAAATTATTATTACATTTATTTACGGTTGAAAAGACTCAATAGACGATTTTTTTATTGATTACAGTTTCTTGTTATTGAATTACCAATAAACATTTTCTACGTCGTTCTCTTGATGATATTTTCTTATGCTAGTATGTTATGAAAACGCTTTTGGTCTGCACTTTATGAAACGACAGCGAAAAGGGCAAGAAAATTGTTCATTTTAGGTTTCTCCGTTTATGTTCTGAAAACTATTGGAATCTGTTTCCAGTTGCAATTTATCATGAAAAGGAATGAATGATGCCATAATAATTGCAGTGAAACGAGTTACACGAATGAAGAAAAATACAGAACGAAGAAATTTCATGTTGCGACATGGGGAGAAGTCAGATTCAGCAGATTTTACTGAAGAAATAACTATTTACAAAAAACGAGAAAATCTGACAAAAAATCTTGTTCTCTGGTAAGCACAAGGAACATTGAACAAGAAAATAATTACATTAACATTTTAAATGAGCAGGAAAGCATGAAGTTGTTTAAGGTACACAGCATTAAAAACGATAACTTTTCTCATTGTTATCTCTTCGAATAACATTTGCTTACATTTTAAAAACGCGACTAACGAATAAAAAGGAAACAAACTAAACCAAGAATAGCTGGTGATAACAAAGTTTACGAGCTTCCTCATGTCAAGAAAATGGAACCTTAATTATATTCAAAAGCACGATGTTATTAAAATGTGAGTAGTTTGGAGCGAGTGGAAGGAAAATTGTGGAAAAACATGCAATTTAATTGAAGCTTATTATTGAAGAGATGTCAAAACTTATATTAAACGTCTTTCAATGTAACATCTGTCAATATCAGGGAGTAATATAATTTTGATATAAGCTTAAGGTTTGATTGATTGAGCTTTAATATTTTTAAAAGTTTGATGGATTTTTTACAACCGTTTTTAATATGAAATTCTACAAAGTCGTGTTATGAAATGGTGAAGAGCAATTTTTAGATAACAATTGAACTTTAATAACTTTTTTATTAGATCATCTACTTACATTGAAGCCAATGAAGTTACAGTTTAAATAAATGTCATTAATTTATCTTAAAAACAATTCTTTTCTGCATATAAATTGATAACTTAAAATTTTATGTTAATTTTCCAAACTTTATAAATACGAATATACAAAATTGAAAATTGTCATCAAACCATTTAAACTATAAAGTCATTTTCATTTTAAGAACAAAGTTTTAAAACAAAAACTTTTATCATGAAACTCTGACAAGCATGCGATTTGTTTTTTAAAAGTCATTAAAAACTTTAAGCTTCATGAACTTGTATACATCTATCATTCTCATGTTTACAAAGACAAAGGTAATGTAAATAAACGAAATGCCAAAATCGCCGTTCGTTGTTTGAGTTTCAAAATGCAAATCACAAGGTATATTGTTAGTTGCTAATGCATCACTTGAAGCATGAAAGCTAAAACAGAGTTTCCTGATAAACCTCGACTTGGGGACGTTTAATTACCATTTTTTCAAAACATCATATTTCCATAATGTAAATGCAAGCTTTCCCACATCAAATACAACTCGAAATATCTGTAAAAACTTTCCGAGACTTCTCTTGTTACGTTAAATAAAAGGATAGAAACCAAAAATTTGAAAAAATAACTGTGGTAGGTGAGAGTGAAAAATCGGGAAAAATTCAAAAGCTTTTTTGTGGCGACGATGGTCAAACATTACAATTTGTGGATCTATTTACAAAAAGAGCTTTTTTACTTTCTGAGCGCCTAGGAGGAAGCTTTTGAAATTTTCATTTCCCATCAACATTTCATCTTTTTCTTTTTTTTATAAAGTTAAATATTCAGTTTCCATGAATTGAAAATAAATCTTCTTCGAGTTTCCAAGCCTCAGCGGTTGTGTGAAATTTATTTATGAGGTTTTTCATTTTCTTGAGACGGAAAGAGAGAAGCAAAAAATGTTTACAAATAATCTGCATTTAAATTTGTTCGTTTTGTCGTGAATTTGCTCATGAAATAATTGAGATAAGATTAATTTATGTTTGAAATTTGTTTACAAAACTCTGAGAGACGAGAGTGGCTTAGGCAATGATTGAGTGTAAGTGTGTTGTTGAATGTTACATTGCTGTCTGCTTACTCATTTGCATAACAATTATTTCATTATAAACGAACAATATGCGCATATTTACGCCGTGAAATCACTCAATCTACACACGTCTATTAATAGCGAATACACAAATAAATTCTCAACACTCAAGCTATTCAGTAATTCCGTTCTTTAACTGCATCAGCAAGAAGTGTTGGCAATAATTAACAAGATATTTGTATTGCTGTACTTACGTTTGGAACTGGCGGTCGTGTTTGAGGTCGTAAAGCGTTTTGAGGCGCCGGACTATAACGTGGCTGTTGCATGTTCACCAGACGAACGAAACAAAAAAACTTTTTCCGAAACTCTCTGCAAACAAAAATAAAAAATAAAAAAGTTGAAAAAAATATATTTCAAATATTTTCTAATCCATGTCAACAAACTTTGAAATATTTATGCAAATACGGAACGAAACAAATATTTTTACAAACACAAATTGATGGAAGTTAGTCAAGTGAACTTTATTAACACAGATGACAAACATCGAGACTAGTTTAAATTGTAATTGTGATGAATTCAAGTATCAGTTTCTGTTTCTAGTTTCTCTTCTTTTGTCATTTTCTTATTTTGATGTAACTGTTTGCCTAAATACTTTGAAGATAAGTAAGTTGAAATCAAAAGCTTTTCATAAGCAGAACAACAAATACTGTTATCAATCTAAAAATAAACTGAGAATGTCGAAGACATCATTTCCCATCACAACGACCTTTGAAAGCATTTATTTTCTTCTGTTTTTGTTTTGATTATTCTTCCATGTTTACATTTCTCATCACTTGAGTATGGGTTTTGTCATTGATCTTGACTGCCAAGATAAAACAGAGACATATTGTGAAAAATTCGATTTTTACTAAATATAACAAGGAAGGAAATTTAGAGATGTAATGATCCGTTTAAATCAAATATTGAATAAGTTTTCAGGAGAAAAAGAATTTGATTCAATTGAGAGAAGAATCAAATATTTGGAAAAGCTTCATCCTGAAAGCTTAATTGGCTTTTGTTTATTCTAAGTAATTGAATAAAATTTATTCCAATAAATTTCCATTTCTCAAGTATAGATTCAGAACTCAAACAAAAGCTTATCGATCCACAACTAATTCGATGTAAATCAAGTCGCCTGCTAAAGCATAACATTTTAATGATGGCATCGAATTTCAAAGTCATGTCTGATAACGAGAATTTTTTTCCATGCACACACAAAACGAAGCACACAGCGGCAATCATTGGAATGGCTATTTAAATATTTTATCTCTTCGACGACATTTGATTTTGATATGGTTAGAGTATGGAAGCGCTCATTTTCATGAATATATGAACGCGACGACAATAAAAGAAGAAAAAAACTTCTCAAAACGGCACGTGATGTGCGAGTGTGTTAAATTTAAACTTTATTCTCCATTTTAATCTGGTAGATCATAAACTAAACAACACTTGATTAAGTAAAATTTCTCTGGAATTTCCCTATGTTTTGGCAATATACTTGACAACTCAAAATAAGCAGGTGTTTTCCCTTTTTATCTTTATTTCTTTCACTCCGCCATCAATGTGTTTGTAAAGTGAATGCATAAAAAGTTTTTTAACCGGTCGAATACAGAGACAATAGAAAAAATATAAATTTTTTTTTTCACTAATTTTTTCCACTTTTTCTATCCGAAAATAAAAGTAGGAGAAAAGTGAAGCCTTTTGGTCATAAAATTTCAACAAAATTGTCGCGCACACAAAATTACGTCACGAGTGCAAAAATTATTTTCTTATCGTCTTCCATTTTTCCGGCAAGAAAAATTATTCATTTTATTATAATGTCGTAAAGACAATGAAAAAACACAGCCCCATCGCAGACATGGAACAAGCATGGAAAACTTGAGAAAATTTTCGAACAATAAAAAATTCTGCATGCAAAAATGATTTTTCTTGCTTACCGAAACTCTTTTCTTCTTCTCCTTGCAATAAAAATCTAATTTTAGATATCAATTTTCTTTCAAACTATCAAATCGATGATTCTGGGTAAATTTAATGATGAAAGAACGAGTAAAAATGTCCAAGAGAGTAGCAAGATTTCAAATTATAATTTCACACACAAAGGGAAACGTCACACTGCTAAATTTTCCAATTTTCTCTTCCCGAATAACTTCACTTTTGTAATATTTTTCGCGAAAACTTCAATATTTTTCAAGAAGGCACCGTCACGAAATCAGTCATAAAATGGTATGATTAGTATGCGGTGATACCTTACAGTGAAAAATTACGGAATTATACTATAGTTTTTCACACACTTTAGGAAGAAAAACTAATTTTCTGCAGAAATTTTCCGAAATCGAGACAGACACTAAAAATATTGTGTTTTGTGGGGCGTGCGCATATGATCATAATGGTCATTTTCATGGTTATTGCATACCCTTTGAACTTTTGTTTTTGTCAGAAACATTAATTTTCTCACTGTGAATTATGTTGGTTTTTAAATGATTTAAATTCAAAGTTGTGAAATAATGTAAAATACTTTGCACAATATGTCTGATGATGTCAAATATCTACACATTCATAGTGGCAATCCAATTTAGTGATTCATTTGCGCTTGCGCGAATATTTTTAAATTGCACGTAAGGGGTACGAAGGAAATAATGTTGTATGTTATTGGATTTAATGTTGCGGCATGGTAAAAGCATGTAAAACTTATTGCATTTGGAAAAAAAATTCATATTTATATTAAAATAAATTAATTGATGGTTTCTCAGCACAAACGAATTAAACTGTTTTAAATAAGATTCCAATAAGATGTTTGATGGTTCATGAATCATGATCAACCCTTCTTTCTAATAAGAAGAAAAACACCTCGGAAAATATTAAATATAACAAAAACATTTTTGATGACATCATTACCAGAAGTTTACGTTTTCAGAAGCTTTCTCATATGTAATTCATCTCATGTGATTTATTTCTTTTCCTTTAATAAGTATCCAAGGTCTACATATGTATAAGCTAAAATATATTACATACTTAATTGATAATAAAAATTTCATGACGATATTAAACAATGGTTACATTTTTTATTTAGGAATTTTCCTTTGAAAAAATCTCTCAATCATGACATAAAACTAACGACAAAAAAAAAAGAAAAAGCATGAAGAAAAGATTACAAAAAAAATGAAGCAATCTCACAAAATGTAATGAAATTTAATGAACCAATCTAAAATTGATTGCTATGCTCTCGCCAAGATGAAAGTAATTATATTTGTGTTCCAGGAAAAGAATTTAGTTAAAAATTCATTAAATAGCTTGGGAGACAAGAAAAATTGCTTGAAATATGTAACGGAAGAAACTGCGTTGTATCTTCTTAAAGCAGAATGAAAATTTTAAAGTTTTATTATTGATTTTTATTACAAGGGAATGTTGAAGAAACTTTACATGAAATATTCAATATATGTAGAGTATCTTATACAATAAAATTTTTGATATGTGAAAGCCTTCAAAACTAATCGTAAAGCTCAGATCTCTCTCCAATTTCTTCAATCTGGTCTAAAATGAAGTTCATTGATTCTTTCGATGCCGGCGGATGACATGTGACAACCATCCGAAAGAAATTTCCAATATTTTTATGTTTAAGTGGTGAATATCCAACCATCAGATTTCCATTTATCATCATGCGTTTTTTGATGAGGGTTGTGATATTTGAAATGATATCCCACCACTTCTGATCTCTAGATTCATTTTCTCGCATGTTTCTGGGAATGTAGAAGAAGCAGACTGAAATAGAATCATCTTAAAAATAGTAAATGTCAACGCAAATCTGAACATTCTACCGTTCGTATACTGAAAAGATGGCAGCAGTAATTCAAATCCTTTTCGTCGTTTTATCTCCCCCACCAAATATGCAGCCATCTCAAAAGCATTCTCAACAAGATTCTCAAACCCCGACAGTCCTCGTTTCTTCCACATAAGCCAGAACTTGAAAGCATCAATTTTCCTTCCGCACGACAGCGATTTATCACCGGAGTCGTACGACGTATCGTAAAATTTATCTTGCTGAAAAAGGTAATTTGCCGATGATGAATTGCACTCGTGTAAAAGTCCTTTTTGATTAACAAGAAAGATTGAACATTGAAGGGGCACTCCCATCGTTTTGTGTGGATTCCATGATAGAGAATGAGCTCGTTCGATACCTGAAACATTTTATAACTTCATCTCTATTCAACATCAATCAAAATGACACTAGTTACCTTGTAATAAGATTCTTCGTTGTTTTGATAATATTGCAGAACCACCTAGACAAGCATCTGCATGTAGCCACAAATTATATCGTTCACACACATCTGCGATCTTTCTCAAATCATCGAATGCTCCGAGCACCTGTAAAATATTTTAATTGTGCTGTTAAATAGGTAAATTCTACTTCCGTGATTACAAAGCTTTTAATTACCGTCGATCCACAGGTTGCATTCACGAAAAACGGTTTGAGATTCGCTTTAATTGCTTCATTAATCTGCTTCTCCAAATCTTCAATAATCATTTGACCGCGTTCGTTGGTTTTTACAAACATTAAATTTTTCTTTCCAATGCCGAGAAAACACGCGCCTTTTATTAGAGCGTAATGAGAGTCATGCGAGGTAAACATCACTAAACCACTGGGATTTCCTTCTACCTTCGATTCAGGAAATTTCGAAAACCGACCTGCATTTATAGCATACATAATGGAAGAACTGCCTCCGGGACATAAAATGCCGTCCCCGTCTTTAAATCCGAATAATTTGTGTGAAATCTCCAGGACTTCCTTTTCTATTAATGTAAAAGCCGGCGCCATTTCAAAAGTGTATTGGCTTGTATTTAATGCATTTGTAATCCACTCAGCCGCTAATCCATAAAAATCCAGTCCCCCAAAAAGTTGATTATGACAGTTGCGATTATTGGTCTTTACTGAAAGCTTAATGACTTCGCGACATAAATTTTCAATCTCAACGTCATCGTTCGGCTCGTTATTATCGGATAGAGAGAAGTTCAACAGCGGCGTCTAATTGCATATAACGAAAGTAATATTTATCTTTTACGTAATGATAACAAATTTTGAGTGTTTTTGTTATTTACTGAAGTATCAAATACAAATAAAGCAAGGGATTTATAAACTATTATCACCTCCATTTCATGTGGATGCTTAAAATCAACAACCGACTTCAATTCATCTGAATGAGTGACAAAAACATTTTCAGATTCGAGAATGTCAAACACTTTTCTGAGAAACTCTAATGGATTGCTCATATCTTGACCTTGAATGTACTTTATAATTTCTTTTCTTCTTCTACACTTTTCGATGTCTTGACTTCACTCGTTGGTGGTTAAGGTAAGACTGAAGTAATAAATGTTTAATTTACTAGGTAATCTGATTTTCAAGTTTTTTCTTCTGCTTTTTTTAAGTTCTCTTCTTTACGACACGACATGAAGATAAATATGAAAATTGTAACATTCCAATGTTTACTTTTAACAAGAGAAATTTTGCTGAGGGTCAGATTAATCATGACAAAATATCTTGCAGCAATTTATCAAAATTTTGAGTGCTTTTGTTGTTATTAGCAAGCCTCTTGTTATAAACAAACGAAATGATATTTGTTTGTACATTTCAATTTGAAGTATGTTGCATGTTCCATCAAGTGTATCAATTGATACATTTTGTTCTTGTCATTCAAATCTTGACTTCACATGTTGGAAAAAGAAGTTTCTAAATCACAAAGAATTATGTACATATATGAAATATTTTAAGACAAAATTATTGCCAGCAGTGTTTTAATTTTTTTTTTTTAATTTCAAATTCTTCTTACGCTTAATCCGCCATTTTGGCTCTTAAATCATAATAAATTGCATGCTGTTTGCGCTTTTAATTTGGTAAGATACTTGAATAGACTTCATTCTTATTATTGCATCATAAATCGTTCGCTTCAAAGAATGAAAAATCCATTAAAATTCTCATATGAGCAACTCTCAAATTTATTCATGAGTAAAGCGAAACGATTTTTTCTTCTTTCTTTCGTTTTTGATGAATGAGACTAAGTTGAGATTCTTTAAAATAATTCCGCTTTTATTCGAAGATTTCTTTACAAAATTTTCTTGTAAATTCTACTCATTGAAATGCTCCGCTTTCAATTTTCCATCTCTAAATATCTGCAGAATAGATTCCAGATTCGATCTTAGATTCAATTCAATTTCCATAAGACAAAAGAATAATAAGGAAAAGGAAGTGAAAATCTTCAATTGCTGCAAAAACGTTTTCAAAGAAGCGGAAAAAAATCTTTTTCAGAGAACTTTTTTTATAGTTCACCCAATCATCATTCTTAAACGTGGTAAGATATCCAATAAATGATTTAAAAAAGCGAAAAAATTTCTTTATTCTCTCTACAGAACTAAGGACTGATAAATTTTAGATAACACAAAAAAAAGCCACTAAATACTTATTTAAGTATAAGAAATCGTTCTTCTACTCCATGCTAAGTTAAGAAATTGAAATTCAACTCTTTCATGTGATTTAATAATATGAACATAAAATTTATCTCTAATCATTATAATTTGTTTGATTAATTGAATTTACAAGAAAAACTCTATGAATGATAATTCTTTGACTATCTAAAACTTTAAATTTAATTATGTTGAATTCCTCCTAAAACTGAATGAAATTTCAAGAGAGATGACAAATTTTGTAATATTTAAAGTTTAAATCCGCGGTTAAAATAAAATAAAGATGAATTAAGTATGACCTAAATAATACCAAAGCGACAACAATAATTTTTATGGCACTTAAGGACGGCTTCAAAATCGTTGAAGTATTTTATGACAGTTAATTGTTTGAACTCTCAACGGCAATGTATTCGGAAAATGAAAATTTATCGACAAAGCCAACTATCGACTGTTTACATCGTAGCATCGATCTCATCAATCTCATCAAGTTCCCTAGTGACACATTATTTCCATTTACCCTTAAAACAAAACGAAGCATCAATAGTTGTCGAATTTCTTTCTCTTTTGCAAACCTTCCAAAGACAAATTTCTCCTTAGAGAAACAGCGTGATGTCCGTTAGAAAGACAGATTGCGGTCGATGTACAAACCAAATGCATGAAATGTATCAAAGATTTATCGATCGTTTAAGGATGGAGAAAAATCAAAGTTTCTAAAATCTTACAATGCCATTGGGACTTTTCAGTGAAAGTTTTTCCCATCTCTTAGTTTTATTGAAACTTTTGAAGTGGTTTTCTTGCAACCTAAATATTCTCGAATCATCAGTTATTTAAATACTTAATTCAATCTGAAAATAAACAATCATAACTAGGTGAATTTCATGACATAAACAAATAAACTTAACAACGTAAATAATTAAATGTACAAATAATTTTTTAATTTATTTAAATATTTAAATACTTTACAAAAATTAGTTTTACAATATCACAAATGAATTTTTTTGTACAAATATCTTTCAATAACATCTTCAATAATAAACATAGAAGATAGGTGGTGGCATTGTGCTTGGATATTGTGCCAGAAGTGCTGCAATTTGTTCTCCTTGTATGATTCCTACTGGATAGTAAGGCACATAAGCATGTCCTGGATGGATGTTCGGCATTGGATAGCAGTTCATGTAGATTGGAGTCGGAGCATGGAAGTGAGGGAGAGGCACATACGCTGGTACCATGTTTGGAACCTGATAAAAACAATGTTGCACTTGTTGGTAATCTTGTTGCAGGTTTCGCTGATTGTCACTTTCTGGAATGTCATTGAGTGCCCTCGAAAAGCACGGGAAAAATGGCGGTGTTGATGATCCAATTTCCAAATCAAAGTTTTCATTCTCAGTCATGACGTAGTAGGGCTGGTCAATTTCGTGCTTGAACGCTGCATACTCTTCCAAGTCTTCTTGAGTGTCGTTAACATACAAACAGCAATTCTGGGAAAAAAAGAAATGAAAGTTAGATTTGAGTTCACAATCAAATATTATGATTTTAAAACTTACTTGTAAATGTTGATGACTGCAATGTTCGCACGAGGCTGTAGAATTCCAGTCCGATGTTCTGTCAATTCGAACTTTTATTCTTAATGATTCAGTTCTTTCTTCGTAGACTGGTGAATTAATGTCGCTGTCAATGCCAGTGATGTCGATGAAGGCAGACATTGTGGATTCCATTTCAGACGAAGTATCTGAAACATCAGATATGTAACGACCATTGGCTTTGGCTTCTAACATCTCTCGTTCGAAATCATGAAGGAGTTGCAAGAAAGCCAAACGTTCTTCTTTGATCGGCGATGTCTCCTCGTTTGATGATTCAATGTTTTCAATTGAGTCTGACCAATTAATTTCTTCGATGCCACTGATGTCGATGATGAAAGAATTTGCTTTGAATGAATCCATTGTTGATGCTTGAT